GAGCAGTAATTCAATGTGACTTACTGTGACGGGGGAGTCTACTCTCTGTACATTGCTTTCCTCGACCAGAATCTCTCTGAAAATAAATACACACAAAGCAAGATTGGTCAACTTTACATCATCCCTTATATTACAAATGCCAAACGAATTTAATGAGGGGGAAATCCTGATACTGTTAACCCTAGCTAACCTACGGAAAAAAGCTTCGTGCAACACACACATTCTAATTCAAATAAATAGATTTGCCTTGTGGTTTCTTATTACATTCTAATTTAAAAAACGAAAGTGTTATGACAATGTCAATGCAGGGCAGGATATGATATGAAATAAGCCACAAAACCATTTATAAATTGTACCAAAGTGTATTTATAAGTTTCAATATACAAGCATGTCTGGAGTAAAGTATTGAAATAAATAAAGATCAGCTCTGTGTTAAGTTTAAGTTAAAGCCTTTTATTGTCATTGTACACAGAGTATAACGAGATTCAGAGTGCAACATCTATCCTCCTTCACATGTCACACTGCTGCTCATAACAGCGTTTATCCTTGCTTGAGGAGTACTGTGAACTCTTTTGATGAGTCGCCGTTTATAGCAGAATGCACTGAGCTCATTTAAGTTCTATCCATATAGTGATTGGAAGCGATCTGTCAGTCTTTAACCTGTTAAGCCCTGAGCCTGTTTTTCAGGTCTCGGGCTCGAAAATGACATTCCCAGAACAAATGACCATATCTTCCCTTCTAAAAGGGTTAAATTAATAATCTTTTTTCTCAAAGTAATGATAAACATGTGAGTTGGATGTAGAAAAGTCAGAATCAATATAGATGTTTTTTATTTTAAAGAAAATTCAGATTTTACATAGTAGAAAACTGTAAATTATAGTGTCCGCCCAAAAATTATTTTGTACTTATAGTGAAAACTACCCTTGGATGATGGGTTAGTAGACTAAAAGCTTTAGGAATCCAAAGTACAACATATAATAAGTACCCTGTATCAAGATTGATGCAAAACAAGTGACATTTGACCTTTTTAGAGAGGTTTAGCAAAAAGAAACCACTTCTGGGGTCATTTGGGTGGATTTTCCATATCTCCGGCCTCCCTTGCTCGATTTTGATGGTTGACACCTCTTTCTGACCGTTAGAGCCAATAGAATCGAAGGTGGAGTCCCCCACACACACTCATTGTGAAGAGAAATGGTGGGGGCTTCGCACATGTAATTTTCCATCAGAGTGAACCTATCTCTAGCTTTGACATCTGGAAACGGAAAAGCAGTTTTAATGCTTATGGATTATCAGAAATCATTTCAAAGGGACACAGACACATTGGATTAACCTATGGATTAACTTCAGCAGCGTTTTTATCGTTTTAATGCCATTGAAGACCACTTTGGAGAGACGACAGAGCCAAGGTAAAAATGTTAGCATTTTTAGCTACCTAGCGTCACATGTTTTGATGTCCGTTTTTGCTTATAACGTCGCGATTTCGTATAATTCAGTGATAATGTGGGTGTCCAACGATTCTGTGTCACCTCACGATGTGAAACGATGTCATGGATGTAGAGAAGAGATAAATAATAAGGTTTTGTGAGTGATTTTCGGTGCAGTAAGGTGCATTTTTCGCTCGTTGCTAATTCAGAGGCTCAGTGTTAGCATTGTGGGTTTTATTTTGAAAAATAAATAAAAACGATCAGTTAGATGAGTTTCTTCCCGTTACATGGATATAAAACATTCATAGTTTATTAAACGAACATGCCCTCAGACACGGTTTCCTGCAAGATGTTGCGGCACGGTAGCTAACGTGTTTGCCGGGTCCACTCCTGCTCCCGTGCTCATGAACACGCACAACTTGACTATGACTTCCGGTATCGGGAGCGCGTCTGGGTTTGATAACATATACAGCTTCAGTGGTTTGACTATGTATAGGTTTATGGTTGAGTACATTTAACATTTTTGACTCATTGTACAAACTTCTAACAATGTTTCTCTCAAATTTAAAATGAAAATATGTTCAGTTAGAAAAGTATCTTTCTGTAAACACATTCTCCAATATCAGTATATTATTCAACATTTATGCCTCCACCAAACAGACAAGTTGCAATTTAGATGCATGTCTACATGAGGTAAATACTATATTCAAATAATATGTAGTAGGCTGTTAGGAGACCAGCATTTGTTAATTTAATTTACTTTGTGTGTTGAATGGTGGTATCTCACAGGAGACATTAGCTCTTATAATACTCTATATATAGTTTTCTCCCATGTGTGCAGGGCAGGCCCGTAGCACTGGCGTTATAGATGTTCGCCTAGGGCGCCAGATCTGGGGAGGCGCTGCGCTGGCAGCTCTGGGAGGGAAAAAACATTTTTGACCGTTGGTGCTCATCCTAATTTTCGGCCTTGATGTAACAATATTCATAATTAAGTCAATGTAACACCCTTTTCACCCCGGTTACACGTTTCATTTGCCCTGTACGATGGGCGCTGTAAGTGATGAAAATGGGGGATGTTGGCCTATCTGGCACTCGCAGCTCACAGCCAAAATGCGAGTGAGCGTGGGAGCGAGCGAGGGAGGGCGCTGTTGTTATTAGAATCTGGTGCTAGCTGCTCTAACGGATATAATAAGATGTTTCTACAATAATGTGGAGGGAGAGTCCTCTCCAGTCAGACTGAGAGGCTGATAACTACAGCTCAGTGAGGTAAAGGACTCTGAGTGTTTAGATAGTTCACTTTAGTCTAAGTTATCTCAGTGGGTCTCAAACAGTTTGGTCACAATTTATGTAAACACATATTTCCAAGGCACTCCTTTATAATTATTGGGATAAACAGGTTTGAAATCATTCCAATGTATACTATAGGACAGTAAACCAAAAATATCCTTTAAAATTGGAGAGATAAAAAAAAATGCATAAATAAATAAATGTTAACTAGGTAAAATAAGATATGAATGAACAACAAAAATAAAATAAGTTACATTTATTTGTTATTGGCTATGGTAGGTTATTAGTTATGTTCACATACTTATTTGATTATTAAAATGTAAACCGATCTTTTTCATATGGGTGTTTAGAGTTGTACCCCTAGATCTAGTAGTGATTCTGCTCAAAGTGCACCAGATTGAAGCATTTTACTTTAAAATGTTCAAACATTTGCTGCCAGCTAAAATCTCGCCTAGGGCTGCAAATTGTCTAGAGCCGGCCCTGCATGTGTGTGTATTGTGTGAAGTTGATCATTACCTGGCTTTGGCACACAGAGCCTTCACTTCATTTTCTTTGATGAGTTCACAGCGTCTGAGCTGCTCTATCTGTCGGTCCAGGTCACTGATGTCCCCCATAGTGACACACATAGGGAGAGCTGCTCACACAGAGACACACACTCTGGTTCTTCTGACACACACCGGCCCGGGACTCTGATGGGACAGGAACTACACACTCCCTCTTCGGAAACACACAGGGCTCTTCAACACTTGGTCAGCCTCTTCTTATCGAGACGCTCCGAATGAGAACTGTAACGGGAACAAACGGCCAAGCAGTTAAACAATGAATCTGAATATAGGCAAAGCAAGGCAGCCACATTTGAGTAACATGGATAAGATTCACTTTTTGAATGCAAGATAACCAACTAAACAAATATGAATAATATCAGTTACAATAAACCTGAGAAAACCGACTTTATTCGTCCAGGAATGTGAGGCCTAAGGGCGTAGCTAAATGGTAAGCTAACCATTAGCACGCTAGCTTAGATCACAGCTAACTACGTCAGCGAACAACTGATTGTTTGATATCTCAGCCAACCATTTTGTTTAGGAATTCGTCCTGACGGTTAACAATAATGTCTACCGGGCGGTAGCGAACAACCGCCAATACTTTATGTGCTAATGAAATAAGAAGCGTGTTTAGCTTAGCTGTATGTTAGCTTGCTGCCTGTCGAGGCACCAGGCGGCGTCAACACTGTTAGCGCTGCTCGGCTAACTTTGTGAACAGAACAGCTAAGGCTAGCAACACAGGCTAGCCAACGTTAGCAACACATATCAGAAGCATTCACACGACGCTGTTACACGAAACATGCGTTAGAGTGATTACCGTGAAGTATATGATAGCTGAACGGTGACAAACAAACATATATTTGTTTCATTCCGTGGATTGATCCACCGACTGGTTCTCTTCTTCCCACGGTAGCTAACGTGTTTGCCGGGTCCACTCCTGCTCCCGTGCTCATGAACACGCACAACTTGACTATGACTTCCGGTATCGGGAGCGCGCCTGGGTTTGATAACATATACAGCTTCAGTGGTTTGACTATGTATAGGTTTATGGTTGAGTACATTTAACATTTTTGACTCATTGTACAAACTTCTAACAATGTTTCTCTCAAATTTAAAATGAAAATATGTTCAGTTGGAGAATGTATTTACAGAAAGTTGCAACTGGTCAAAAAACATGCAGTGGTTTCAGAAAAGAACATTACAATACAAATGTTTTAACTTAAGAGTTCATCACCATTTGGATGAATAACCCTGATTCACGGTCACAGCTCACAGCTTTAATGAGTGTTGGCATCTTTCCATCCTCTGGCTGACTTTATGATTTTTTTCGTGAAATAAATATACATACTTATATACATAAACTGTATATCCTACTGTGATGTCAAAACCTAAAGCATAACCTTAGATTGAGAATCTATCAATAGTAGAAGGGAGCAGGCACGGATGCAATGTTTTAGAATTGAAAATAAATCTGACCTGTTGTGTAGAAAAACAATACCAGACATATGATTATTCAAGCTCAGCATTTTGATATGGAAACACGTCGAAAGGAGATCTTTGAATCTTTTCCGCTGTAGCACAACTGTGATCATTTGGGGCCACATTTAACCACATGGTGTCAGTAGTGGTTTGTTACTATACCTGAGGATATATGAAAAAAAGTCAGTAAAGTTTGGAACTGAATCAGAGCTAAAGGTTTAATGATTCATGTAGAACGATAAAAGAAATGAACACAAAAAACACATTGTTTATAAAAATGAGGCTCAACTTTCACTTTAATTACAGGTAAACTTGAGCTGAAAAGATGATTTGACAGAAAAGGATCAGCAATTATAATACAGTCATCGATTTTGGTCCAACAGAGCAATTCGAAGAAGTCACATTAAGTGAATTGTGATGAGCATTTTCATTATTATCTGACATTTGATTAATGTTTAAAGATAGAGTTATTGAAGATAGAGTTATTGGGAAAATGGTCTAGAGTAACCGTCGTTAGTTGCAGTGCAAATGAGCAAAATAGCTAGGAATGAAATCATTCAATATAATAATTCAAAGGTGGCAGCAAGCAGATTTGTATGTTTAATTGATTTGCAAACAGATGATCTGTGTATGCATAAATCAGAATACTTTATTTATCCAGGGGGAAATTGGGGTTTATGACAGTTGCTCCATTTAAAATTATATATATATATAAAAAAAAGAGAAATAAATAAAAAATAATGAAAATATTAATATAAACATAAGATGTTAAAGTAAGCAATACAATTAAATAAAGATGTATGTACATTTAATAATATTAGTATTTTAAAGCTCTGGGCATAGTCCAGTTTTTCATATTGTTACAGTATATTCAATATTAAAGCACACAAAAGACCTTTATTTTTGGTAGAAAGGTGTAGTAAAAGGCATGCGACCCGTTGCAACAGTACCATAGACAGAGAAGCAACATCACACGTCAGTCAGTTGACCTGCTTCTAATAAAGAAGGCACTAAAAAACCTTTTAACTTCCTTTGTTAACATCACTTTGATGTGTTAAACCACAAACAGTCAGTACTCAATAGCTGTGTCAAGTGTCAACTGTGTCAGTATCAAGGACACTTTAGCAAAATGCAATAACGTAAAAACAGATTAAAGGTCCCACAACATCATATCAATTAAAATATTGAAAATGTCTAATTACATTTTAGCCTTCAGTACAGAATTGTGTTGTATTACTTTTTTGGATTAAAAGCTTAACATGGTTGTATAATGTTAACCTTAGTAAGATAAATGACAGACAGATTCAGTGTTATGTTTGAAAAGAAGATGATCTACTATGTCCTGTTGTACGGAAATAATTCAGATTATGGGATATTATTATATTTTTTTTACATTTCTTCATTCAGCCTAACTACGACTGCTACGACATGAACTGGATATTTCCTGACATGCATTTGCTTCTTCATATTCAACGTTTTTCACTCTTGAACCCAAGGAAAGATAACCCCAAAAGCATAAAGGGCCTCTTTAACTTGCAAAGCAGCTAAAGAAAAAGTGTTTTAGTCACAGAGGTTACTGCACTACAAGTCTGCAATCATTTTCTGCCGGCAACAGACTTCTAATACCGTTTTTGCATTATTCATTTGAGTTAGCTTTCACCATGCCTTCTGTAAAGAAATACTGGGAAACCGGCTCCAAATCAGAAGTGTGCTTCCCAAAAAGCAGCAGTAGTTGATCAGTAGTAGAAGTAGGTCAAAAGTGTTTCCACCACCACTTTTATGTAGGAATTTAGTCTCCTGTTTTCAATCCCTGAAATAGCAGGCACCCACCCACTTCCTGCTGATTCATGGTGGAGGTGTGTGTGGGCTGCGTCATAGGGAACAGAAGTATCTGTGCACGGGGAAAGCAGCGAGTCCAGCCAGAGCGATGCCCAGACTGTCTCCTACACTGGCAGCAGCCATGGCAAACTCCCTGTGTCTGTCTTCAGACTGTGGATACAACAAAGAATTCAGGATGAACACACACTGGACATGTGATGTAGAATAATGAACAAGTCAGTTGTACACAGAGCAGGGCGGTATGCTGATGTGCCACCAAACACTCTCTTAAAAGTCTACTTGCCAGCAGTTTAAACCTCAGATATCGATACAACATCCTCAATAACCTCCAAGACCACTCCAAAATTGTCCAAATGGGCCAACATTTTTTTTTAGCTATTGTCTGCATACGGTATGCTAGATAACGCAACTTGTGCTAATTGCCCAACATATGTAAGTTAGCATCCGGAAGTTTCTATGTGCTGGGGACCCGTACTATACATTTCTAACATAAAACTTTGGGGAACTTAACATTTCCGGGTTCACAATAAGCAACTGGCAAATAAACTATAAAGGGTTTGAAGTGGAATAAAAAGACTTACCCCTAAAGTCAATGAATTATCACAATCTACATTTTGATCAATGGTGCAGCCTACCTCCTTGCTGATGAAGTAGAAGGTGTTGACGTAGGCCGCTCCGCCCAGCAGACCCTCGTAGAGGATGATGGCGAACACGGTCCAGGGATTGGGCAGGAAGTGAAAACGCACCGCCAGCAGGAGCAGCAGCGCGTTCACTACCTGGAGCACAGACAGCAGAGTCAGCAGTATGCAAACATCCACCCACAGATTAGAAGGAAAAGGATTTGTACTCTGGACTGTTGTTCATATTTGAGGAAATATTTTATTCTGTGCATATTTGTGATAACAGCTGGTGATGAAGATAGGTGTGTGTTGTTTATTACCAGGTAGGTTTACACGTACGAGGAATTTGACTTGGGGTCATGGTGCATAAAAATAAGAATTAAAAACACAGATAGAGAACTATAAAAAATAATAAAAAATATAGTCAAATATATTTCCTTCTAAATAATTAAATATATTAATAATTCCTAAAGCAAAATTAATGGTGATAACAATATGATCACAGCGTATTTTGTGATTAACCCTACATTACAGGAAATTGCTTATGAAATAAAATAAATAAAAAAGATTTCCAACAGTCTTTAATTTAACAAAATAAAATCAACACAAAAGACACCAATAAAAAAAGTGATAGCTATATTTGAAAGAGCAGTTTTCTACTGTTTTGTTCAGCAGGATAATCTCCTCATATCAACACCACTTAGTAGTTGAAGCATAACAGCAATTACCCGAAGTAAAAAACTAATGGTAAAAAAAACGATATGACGTCACATGACCAGCGCTAAGCTAAAGGCGGCTAATAGAATAGAATCGGAGGGAAGAAACCCTCTTTAATGGTCACACATGCAGAGAACACAGCACACACAGTGACATTTGACCTCTGCATTTAACCCATCCTAGTACTAGGAGCAGTGGGCAGCTATTGTACAGCGCCCGGGGGGGTTTACTGACATATTTCATGTAGGACATTTTAAGTATTCAAATGCTAACTAATTTCCGAGTTAATGAGTCAGTCCTGAACCACACTATCTGGGTTAGGTGAAAAAAGGGAAAAAAAATTCCAAAAAATGTATTCCATCCATACCATATACCTACAGTATGTCAAATGGTACATCCAGAACAAATGTATGGTTGGTTGTAGATTAGTATTAAGCAGTATATAAAATGCAAATGTACCCAATAAGTTGTTACTGTCAACCAATAGCTTTTTTAATATTTGGGTGTTTTTCCTCCCAAATTCGTTGCCACATGTGGAAATTTAAGGAATACGGAATTTAAAAAATGTTGGCAGTTGACATTTTACAAATTTGTTCAAATTGAAATGTCATCATAATTTGAGAAAAATGTTTAGTGTGCATTTCTCACCTGGAGCAAAGAGAGAGCCCACAGTTTCCTGATCTTTATGCAGCACAGGGATGATCGAGACACCAACACACCAACCTGGTACAACGTCTGGTACCTGAACACACACACCACACACACCACACACCACACACACACACACACACACACACACACACACACACACACACCACACACACACACACACACACACAACACACACACACACACACACACACACACACACACACCACACACACACACACACACACACACACACACACACACACACACACACACACACACACAACACACACACACACACACACACACACACACACACACACACACACACACACACACACACACACACACACACACACACACACACACACACACACACACACACACACACACACACACACACACACACGTTTATAGCCTCGTAGGCGTACACACACAAGGAGTTTGCTTTGGAACATACAAAAACTAAATAAGAGGCAAATAGTTGTCAAAAAGGAACAAATATATAACTTTTGAATCCTTCAGAAAAGATGACGGTGAGGTTAACTGACCAGCGGTACTGCTCTGCATGAGACAGAAACACATTGGGGAAATACAGGAGCTCCATCTGGGGAAAGAAACGCCAACATTAGTCCGTGCTCATTATAGAGAGGTGCAGGAATCAGTTCTAAAACTCGGAAATGATTCAGCGTTTTACCACATCGGGTTCCCTCGTCTTGAAGTCAACTGTTTTTGAACGTGTATAGAGTTACAGTAGATGCCCTTAACAAGGTCTGTGGCTAACTCAAGCTTAAAGGTCTCCTATCATGCTATTTTTAGGCATATATTATAGGCTATCAGATATATAAAAATATATAAAAACATGTCTATGATGTATTTTGCTCAAATACCAAACAGATCATGCATGTTAGACATCCCTAATATCCCTCTATTCCAGCCATGGATGTATAATAAGAACTGGATACAGCGTCGGAGGGCGGGGTCTCGTTCTTTCCTATGAGAGCTGCTCATTGGCGCATGAGGTCAAAATGGCCCAACTTTTGAGAGAGCGAAACGTCACAGATTACCCATCATGCCTAGCTGTCAGAGCAGAAGCTCCCGTATGTGCGCTCACAGAGCATGCGCCCCTTAAGCCCCGCCCCCCCGAGCTCCCACTCTCAGCTCAGTAGAATGAATGGAGACAGAAAATAAATATAGATTCGGCCCAATGACGTCACGGACTGATACGGAAATTGTAGTACCGCCGTTTGGACGCAACGAATATTTTCATCAGAGTCCGGCGCACTTCCTGGGGGCTTGATTGCAGCCCTGTTAGAGAACTGTAGGTTCGAGGTCCTTAGCTTGAAAAGGGGGGAGCAAACGCCTGCTCAGAATTCTACGAGATACTCAGCTAAATGCTGCCGTGATTAAACACTATCATGTTCCAAACCACATCAAGGATTATTTCTGAAACAGTATGGAGCTAGAATGCTTTTCTCTTGCGGGTTTACCACAAGGTGAGTTCCTTTTTATATTTCCTGCTTCTTTACACATACTCTCTCCAGTACAGCGTCAGCTCTGAGTGTTAGCGATGCTTGCTAATGTAAACAAAGACCATATTATGTCCAAAACACGTCAGGCATTGTTTCTGATAGCAACGTTTCTGATAGGGCCGTGGGTGTAAAGCCAGCCCACATTTCCGATATAACGTAATATCGGCAGCAAATCTGTATCCGCTCGTTGTACCCCCGTTTTTAGAGATTTGGGTACGGAGGAAAAGAGAGAAGGTCTTGTTTTCTGACACTGCGTGAGTTCCCTGACACACCGGGGGGACACACATATTTATGTATAGAAGACATACAAAAGTACATTTTGCATGATAGGTCCCCTTTAAGATATGTTAATGTTTTATCTTAGACAAAAACATAGTCTAAATACCCCACTGGTGAATGTCTGAGGCTTCTTTTTGCCATTGGTTATATATATATAGCCATTACATTTTTGTCGAGCGAGCCCTTCTGATGTTAACATTCATGTCGGCAGAGAAAAACAAGTGACCACTGCACCACTCTATTAGCTATATTTTCAAAAGTTGAAATGTCATGAACCATCAATTCATACCATCTTTCAGACTACAGCACACTAATGTTGGATTTGGCCCAACAACTCAAACTTACCAGGCCCTGGTTGATGAAATACTCAGCGAAGTAGACCAGTCCCAGCGGGAACACAAACCTCATTAGGCCCTGCTCACAGGAACAAGAGATGTTAGGGCTGATCAGAAAGATACTCATATTTAAAATGAAGGGAAGAGTGTGCTTACTCTGATGACATGAAGTTTTTCTTTAGGGGTGAGCGGTCCGCTGCTCCTGTTCCCTGTTACATTGAGGGGGACGAAAGCATGAACCAATAACATGATTCATTCATTGTGAAAAGCCTCTTTAAATCTGCCTGTGTTGTCAAATAAGCGAGAAACAGCATGGTCTCAGCAACTCAGGCTGCCCATATTAGGGCTGTATGATTTTGAAAAAAGTATAACTTGCAAATATTTTTGACTGATATTGCAATTACAATATGATTTGCAATAATTGAGGGAAGGAGCATCATTTAGAAAAGAAAATTAAAATGATCATTGTGTGGATCTGTACCAAATGAGGATCGCAGTGTGAGAATGCCGTTCTTCTCTGCAGCAGCACAATCATTAATATAAAATCATATTCAAGATATTTTCCCTTTGCCAAAACATTGTGCTTACTAGGATTTAGATATTGCACGGGTTTGAATTGTGATTACGATAAGATTTTGATTAATTATGCAGCACTTGCGCATGAAGTGGTTATACATTCATTAAAACTGACAAGAAAAAGCTAATTCTATCTCCTCAAGAGAAGGGAGCTATCAGATCTGTTTTATTATATTTCAGTAATATGCATCAGGTGAAGTGGAACCAAAGGAAGTGATACTATTTGCCTCAGGAGCTGGTGGATGGCATGACCCCACCATATCTTTCTGAGCTGCTACACCCTTATACGCCCAACCGCCCTCTCAGGTCAGCTGATCAACTGCTCCTGAACGTGCCCAGAACCAGGTCAAAGCTCAGAGGGGGCCGTTGCTTCTCTGTAGCGGCTCCTACACTGTGGAACGATCTGCCCCTGCATATCAGACAGGCCTCCACACTGCCTGTTTTTAAATCGCTTCTTAAAACCCACCTCTTCTCCTTAGCGTATTAACATCTTTTAGAGTGTTGCTTTTATTGCTTTTAAATTGTCTATTGTTTTTACTTATACTAGTTTTATGGTGTGTGAGCTGAGCTGTGTTAATTTGTGTATGTTTTGTTTGTTTATTTGACTGTACAGAACTTTGGTCTGGAGGTTTATAGTGCTCTATAAATAAAGCTGTATTGTATGTCAGCTACATGTGTCAATAAGAACATATTATATTACTAATTTGGGTTTGGGTTATCATCTCAAAAGGTCGCTACTCCAAAAAGAATGTAAATCTGCAGGTTTAGGCCTTGTGCATCCCTTAAAAAAAGAATATGATGTCATTAGAGGACAATAGTGTCCATTTAAAAAAACGGCAGTAAAAATTGTATATTAACATTATTTTATTCTTTCTCTTTAGATAGTTTGCTTTGGTAAATATGTATAAATATTTGTGTTATTATTCTTTGTATAGTTGATGCCAAGCAGAACTTGTATTGTTATTTAGTCTGGGATATATCAATGATTAGCAACAACATTGGTTGCTTTTTATCGATCAGTGTCAGATTTTTTCAAAACTCCCACTCGTTACTTTAAAACACCATATCAGTGTAATTTTCCATTAGTTCAATCTTTTACAAAGTAGTTCAATATTCTTGTTTGCCATCTAATTTTGTAGCCAAGCTGAGCACTCAGAATGGAAGTTGGGTGAAACTGCTATCTTTGCAGTATCAAAAGAAGTTATTAACACATTGAGTTCAAAGTGTAAATATTAGTTTTCTCTGCAACACAGAGCGGATAACATCCAACATATATTCGTTTCACCGCACGAATCCACCCACGTGCATCCCTTATCACTGAAACAACTTCCTCCACACTGAGATAAACAGAGGCCAATGAGTTAATCTGACCTTAAATCTCACCATGAGGTCACAGGCCTGCTGTTTAATGTAATCACTTGTTTAAAATCTAAATGAAGTTGAAACCTTTTCCCCACTGAAACAACATGTGCTTCCTTTATTATCTGATGAAATAACAGTAATGCACTCAAAGGCCTTCCATGTATGTAATGCACAACGGCAGCTAAACTCGTTAATGTCATTTCAATCCCGTCCACTTGAACCTTTTTGATTTGTCTGTGACATGTACCTGGGGTTGACTCTCCCTGCTCCTCTTCCTCCGAGTCATCCATCAGCTGCTGCCTCTCCTCTGACACCACCGCAGCATACTGCTTCTCTCTCCACTGAGGGAGAGTAGGTGGAGGAGCCAGCAGGAAGAAGTAGCTGGTGGGGGGAAAAGCAAAAGTACACATATTTTCATTTGAACAGTGAGAAGAACTGAGGTGATTCTGCTTTTTGGAGTTTTGACTTTCCTGTAGTGTGTTTATTTTGTTTATGTGCATTTAAATGGTCCGCAAAGGCTCAAATCCCTGTGTTCCCTCCAGAAGGAGATCTCTCCCACATTTAAAATCTGATTTCATTAAAATCATTATTTTCTCATCATTATCTACCCAAGATCTTCCTCTGGTCAGTTGTTTGTAAAAAGGAAAATATATTTAAATAATAAAATATTAGGTAAAGAGGTAAAAAAATGAAAGACCAAAGTATGGTTTACTTTTTTACTACCTCATCATCAATCAAGTGTTTATCGTGAAAATAATTGTTGTTTTGATGTTCTTGATACCTCTCTTTTCTTATTTACTCATTTTACCCTCTGTCAATCCATTTGAAACTATTCTAAATACATCCACTGAGATTCAAAGTTATAAAACAAACCATGAAAAGTGTAACAATGACCCACTTTCCTGTCTATCTTCAGCTGTATGAAGCAGCATATCATCTTTAAAGAATGTCAGTCTGTTATTGTGCAAATGCGTGAATCAGCTCTGGGACTCCACACTCACCTGACCAACAAAGCGAACGGGACCACCAGCATGATTTGGAGCGTGACCTGGGGAGACAGGCCCACCTGGGTGAGTCCCGAGTACAGGAAGGCTCCAGCGACACCAGCTCCCCCGGTGCCTGAGCCCCAGGCGCCCAGCACATCCCTGCCGGGGGGGGGGGGGGGGGGGGGGGGGGGGATCACAAGGACTCCATTGGACTTTTGGATTGGATATTGGAATATTGCAGAAAATAATATCTGTGGCAAACACACGTTTATGATACTCAACCACAGAAACAGAATTGCTGACTCATCTCCTGTTTAACAGACTCATACCTGCACCACTCTATAGACAGACCATCAGAAGCTATGATGTGACATCATTGCTGACAACCGTCTGGTCATTGCCCACTGCTTTAGGTTTGTGACAAAGAGCTATTTAAATGCTCTTTCATGGAATTAGCACTAGCTTGAGTCACATCATTGTTGCACGGCATTGAGAGGAGAGCGTTGTTTGGAAGGTGCTTCCTTCTAGGTTCCTCTGAGTAAGCTCTACCATCAGCGATTTCAGAGTGAAGTGCAAGACTAGAACTGCCCCTGTGACAACTTTGACCACACAACTGTAATCAGTTCATCCTTGGTTAGAGGAAGTGTTTACCTGCTGAAGTACACAGTGAGGGAGAGGAAGGACAGTTCTCCCAGTCCTGCGCTGATACTGGCAAAGATCACTCCTGAAACACACAGGAGGGAGGCACAGAGCCGCCTTATTAAATGACTTGAAAGTGAATAGTTGTATGTGTGGTTAATAGATCTAATCATGTTTCTTCCTCTTGCATTTACCCCACAACGCCTCTCTGTAACCTGCACTGAACTGCTCGATGTGCAACTGACTATTTGACACTTTAGTGGACAATAAAGTTGTGTTCTTATATCATTTCAATAGAAATGTCACCAGTACAGTTAATAAGCTTTAATCAAGACTTGTAGCCAGAATGATTAAAGTATTTCCTCTGTGACATTATTGACCCTTGTGAGGAAACTGCAAACATGAATTATGGATTAATGACATGTATTATAATCCAACGTTGGCTTTTCTGCAACACCTCATTTTTAAATAGATTATTCTCACACACTACAATTGATATAAATAGAGCTGTGGAAAAGAGACCCGTGCTAAATTATTTGTTTCTCTGGTTTTTTACTATTTAAAGATATGTTTGAGTAAAATAATTGTTTTAGATTTATTCCGAAAAGCACTGATAAATAGCAAGTAAAAAATAAGAATATTGTCAATTGGAGTATGTATTTGGATAAAGTAAAAAATGGTTAAAAGAACAAAAGATGACGTGGTTTTATACCTGTAATAATGCAAAAAAAAGTATACATTTTAATGTATTTTAATATGTGTATATAGTAAAAGAAAGTTATTACCTCAAAAATGAGTCAACAAAGACCATAAGGGTTGGACTATAGAGGACTGGAGTAAGGCCATTTCTCTGATGAGTCACATTTGTAGCTTTTCACAAGTCTTCTAATGGTTTACCAGAGACCTGGAGAGGCAACATGTTTCACACCCAGTGATACATTCTGTTGAGAATTGGTGATGAGGCTTCAGCAAGGCTTGAATAAGGTCGATTTGTGAAAGACATATGAACCAAGCCACATACAAGATTAACCAAGAAGACATCTTGTTTTCTTTTGCTATGACAAGCTCCCAAAACTCGGAGGTTTGTCAACAGACAGGTCAGTCAAGGTGTGTATGGAGGAGCAGCAGATCACGGTTTGCCTGATCCCCAAAACCTGCATTTACAAACCTCAGGATACCCAGTTAGCAAGATAAACATTGATGCTCATGAACCGTTGTCTACATGTTTGGGGCAGGAGTGGCATAAAGTCAGCTAGAGGATGGTGACACTAATGAAAGCTGTTACTGTCAATCAGGGTTATTGCACCACATATTGATTATTGAACTCTTCCTTAGTTAGAATATTAGTATTGTGGTGTTATATATATATATAAAGTAACATGAACTTGTTTTTGCTCCATTATATGAGGTCTGAAACCCATGCATATATATATATATTATTTTTTTAAATATATTTTTGGGGCCAGATTGTGCCTTTTATTAGAGATACAGAGGTGAAATGGGGAGATAGAGGGGATGACATTGCCTGATGGGTTCAGGAGCCGGCCCCCACCACGGAGCCATCTGGAAGCCTGATTATTGTTATTTTGAGCAGTTTTCATTTTCTGCAAATGAATCCTCTAAAGCAAATATTTTATTTGGAACTATATAATAATAATAATATAAGAAATAAGGCAGTTCAATCAAATATTTCCTCCACATCATGTTCTGTAACTCAACACTCATTTAGATTCATTTGCCTCCTTCTCTTAAACTTCTTTGCTACAGATATTAGAAGGAAATGTGTATGCACATACACACACTTAGTCATTAGCATGCATGCTGATCCATAGTTCATGATAAAAACTATTAAAGTATCACATTTCAGTGGAATCGTCGCAGCAGCACCCGTTCAGATAAGATTAGCTGAAACTGAAGCGGACTCTTTCTGATACTCCGTTATCAGATGTTCCACTACACACAACGATAAGAGCTGTGACTCAAAATAATAAGAACAGAATTTACCCAGAATGCTCATCCACATCGCTGAGGAGAAGGACACCAGGAGGAAACTTGTGGCTGCCATCAGGGCGCAGAACAACACCCGGAAACTAGAGAAACAGGAATGAGGCAGTAAATCCACAATTACTAATGTATTATACAAACATATAAACATGCTGTTGTTTGGACAACGTGCTCCTATGAACAGCCAATCGGATGTATAGCCAGCACAACCTACTATAACGACTCCACTTTGATACGCTTCCATCAATGAAACTGAACACTTTTAAATATAAGACCACGTGAAAATGATATGAAAGAGTTGACTGAAACAGCAGCACGGGGAAGCCACTGGAAATATTGAGTAAATGACATCAATGGTGCTAAATGTATCAATAAACCAGGTTAGAAGGACCCTAACCAGGTTAGAAGGACCCTAACCATCAGCAGCCAAACCCTTTTCATCTGTGTAACTCGGGACTAATATCAGAATATACTAATACACTGTATCAGCTGTTTAACCACAGCTCATCTTATTTTTTATTTTACATGACTTAATTTAACTTCTTGTGTTTTTATAAATGTATTTATTTGATCTTTTTGATTTCATATTCTTACTTTAAATTCTTATTTCAATATAAATATTGTATTATATATTTTTTATTGATCTTTTATTTGATTTCCTTCTAAAAGGAATAAACATTTAACTGAAGTGTTGGGATATGAATTCAACATGGAACAAGTGTTGAGTTGACCAGGGTACAGGGAAATGTATCTTGAACGTATTTGAACTGAGCGACACCACTCAATGTTTGTGTCCAGCACTGTTTCTCCTGGACTTTGACGGACAGGTACACAAGTGTCTTACCCATAAGGCAGTTTGTGGATGACACAGGGAGCCGCCAGCTTGATGAGGAGCGTTGGGAGGATGTCCGCTAACAGCACAGCCTGAGGAGGACAGCATCTTTGAAATCAATTGTGTTTTTATGTCAGACTTACATTGTTACAATTATGTGGGATATCTTTTATGGTTTTCAATACTATTAATGTGTGGCGATATATACTGTATGTTTTCTATGTGTGGAACAACGGCTTCGTTTCTCTGATTGTCAGATGAGTTTCAGTACCTCTTCACTCATCTTGCTTCCTGTTTGTCTAAAAACCCGTTTAAAATAGTCGGCTCTCTTATCTCTCTTGCATACATACACACATACATACACACACACATACATACACAAGCCCACATAGGCGCAGACACACACAGAGACACAGCAAAACATACATTACATACATACATACACACAGACACAAGCCCACAGAGGCTCAGACACACACAGAGACACAGCAAAACATACATTACATACATACATACACACATACATACACAAAGAGACAGACACACGGGGAGACGCACAGAGACACCCACACATAATATATACAAAGACACACACACAGCTACAGATAAACACACATAATAAACACACAAAAATACACAAAAAGACCCACATGCACACAAAAAAACTGAGATACACACACATACAAATACTACACACACACACAATACATACATAGAAAAACACCGACACACACATGCTTTTGGGCTGAATGCAAAGTGATAATGATAATAGTTTAAAAATCCTTATTGTATATGTTGGCACAGGAGAGCTTGTGGCGTAGTGACTGTGTTTACCGCAGTAGAAACAGGGTTACAGTCGTAGGGGCTGCTGCTGTTGCTGCTTGTTCCCAGCCTGGACATCCACAGTCAGCGGGGATGGAGTCTACATATAGAACAAGGGAATCATTTTGTGTTCATAAGGACATACAGCTTCAAGGCATTGGCAATAACAAGACTCAGTGCAAATACTGATTGAACTGCTCACAGGTGAAGTGGCGTTCGCTGACGCTTGCTTTTTGAGGATGTCATGTGCAGCGCTCAGCATTACCACATAGGCAAAGTTGTTGCACAACCCGAGGAGCCTGGGAGCATAACAGAAGAAGAGTTACATAATAATAATGCAGGGTACGCACATTCACATGCATCAATAACACACAGCTGAGCCACTGGTTGGTGCGTCTTTGAAAAAGATGGTGGTGTTTAAAAGAGTAACTCCTGAATGAAAAATAAAAGACCAAAATAAACCCTGCTCCAGTGTACAATCAGTGTTGTAGAGGAGTGCAGGAGTTCATAGTGATTTAAGTAGTATTTCAAACTTTTTTGCCATTAATTTAACTACTTATACTACAATATGATTAATTCTGCTTCATTAAAAGGAAAGGAATGTGTCTTTTTATTGATTCTTTAGCATTCATTCCTTTAAATCAAATCTTGTTCTTTTTTTTTGGACATTGAACGTGATAACTTAAATAATAACAATAATGAAATAAACAGTCAAATAAATGTTAGACCTGTTCCTACTGTCTTTGAATTTGATTTGAAAAACTCAATGAATTGGCATTTTACTGACATTTTGATATCCTATTCTGTTATAATCTCATATAACATCTACATTGATCATTTGATCATTTTTCCGAAGCAGATTGCATCACTTTGATTAAGTAGCTTCAGTTAACCCTTAAGAAGCTTTGCTGTAGTCTACCTGTGTGAAGATATATGTATAAAGATATAAACATGCATATGTACAGATATAAAACAACAATTCCATTCCATGTGTCCACAATGATGCCGAGTGCAAAGGGGGATGCAACACATTTGGGATGAGGAATGTAACTTAACCCTTAGATGCATAAGTGGGTCTTTCTTGACCCGGTGAGGTGGTTTTCTTAGAGTATCTTTGTAATTACATTTCACATTTTACATTCCAGCTATTCCTCAAAAAACATGTTTGGATATCATGCCATTCAAATGTTAATTTAAAATTGTATACATTTTAAGAAATTGTAGTTTTTGTATTACTACCCCAAGCTTCCATAAGTGGGTCAAAAATGTTTTTTTGTAATAGTGTTTATTCTGTTAGACTTTCAGCTTTTGCAAACACTCACCAGAATCCAGTCCAGTTCCGCCATTTTGAGCATCTGCCTGTGAACACACAGACACATGACTTTAGCGACTCATACAGCATATCAGTGTATTTGCCAGCTCATAGAGTCCTATTGTGAATCCAGAAATGTTGAGTAATGTATAGTATGGGTCCCCAGCAGATAGAAACTGCCCGATGCTAACTTTCATATGTTGGGCAATTTGTACAATTTGCAATGTGGACTACAGTTCAAGATTGGGATATTTTTGGATTGGTTTTGGAGGTTATTGAGGATGCTGATTCCATTTCTGTTCCAGTTTGAACCAGAAAGTGGCAATATTTATACTCTCTGTTGGCTGATGTTTGCTGAACTTTGTGTCGATTTAAAAAAATCTAGGAGACTCTGGATCGTTGGAATTCGACATATTGCTTATTTATTTGTAAAAAAATAAAATGTCCACAGTAGAGATAATGTCATCTTGTGCTCTCTATATCCAATGCTCGCAACACTACTCATGGTAGTCAAAATCAGTCCACCGAGAGTATACATATTTCCACTTTCTGGTTCAAACTGCAATGTTTAATCCTGAAAATGTCAACAATTTCAACATCCTCAATAACTTCCAAAACCACTTCAAAATTCTAAATCGGCCAAGCCATTTTAAAACTATTTCTGCATATGCTAATGCAACTAATACTAATTGTGCAAATTGCCCAACATATGCAAGTTAGCATCCAGCAGTTTCTATGTGCTGGGGACCCGTAGGCCTACTAGTACATTTCTAACATACAACTTTGGGGTAGTCAACATTTCCGTGTTCACAATGGGAGCTGGCAGACAGACTATTAGCAACTCACAAAGCATATGTTTGTAATATTTTCATATTTTTTGACTAAGGAGAAACCCACCGTTACTGTCAGAGCGCTGCGCCGGGTCTGCGTTAACGCTGGCCGCCTGCTCCATGGTACCGAACCGGAGGAGAGGTATCACACTGACGTTACCGGACGCCAGGCTACCAACAGTTAACGTTACCGGGCTAACGCTGTTAATGTTACCGTGCTAACGTTTTTACCGGGCTGACGTTGCTAATGTTCCCAGGATAAGCATCGTAGACTGCGGCTCACGAGCTGTGACGATATGTATTTAAATAGCGCAAGCTGGTTTCTTTTTGTAAACTTTGACGACGTCCCGTCACATGAAACGCGGTGTTTCATCAAAATAACTCCCAGTGGAAACAAAACTATCTAAAATCGTTCCCATGCAGTGACGCTATTCAGCATACTGAGCTTGTAGTATGTAGAAAGACAATAATACTTTCAAAGTGAAATGGTAAACCAACTTGATTAGCGAAAAAGCCAACATTTGGAATACCTTCCCTAAAAATATATTTAATTCAATAGGGGAGGTTACATTTATACTTAAATGTGATTATAATATTGAGAAATTGCCTATACAATTATCTAACTTTCCCTGCTGGCCTAGAAACTAATTTACAAACACCATTTTTCACCAACCAATTATTACATTTGGAACAACAGGAATATTCAATATAAAAGAACATCTCTATATTATGAAAGATGGGTTGAACATGGTATTTTATTAGTTAGACAACTTGTTAATACTGATGGGCAATTACTAAAATACAATTAATTCCTTTCTAAATTTCACCTACCGGTTACACCAAAAGAATATGCAGTGGTTTTTGATGCTTTGCCAAGGAGTGTGCTGCAGCTTCTCAGATGTTCAGATACTGAGGTTTCAGTTGTTAGTCTTTCTAGCAGTATTCCTTGGTGAAGTGGACATTACCAAGAATAAATGCTCAAACAAATATTTTAGAAACTGCATTCAAACTGTAACTCTGCCCAGAGGAAGATTCTTCTGGGCTTCACTTTATGGAGACATCTATTGGAAACTAATTTGTTTAATTGGAAATATAGTGTTGCTCAATAATATAGTTAAGGAGCTGAGGTTTCTTTTACACACAATATGTCCAGCAAAAAAGACACTGCAAAGATTTGGACTTGATATTGAATATTCCTGTACATTTTGTAATCTACAAGAAGAGACTATTGGCCATTTATTTTATGTAGGCTTTTATTGTAGAATATTGTGGTATGAGGTGGAATGTTTTATTAGGAAAAAGACGGGACAAAAGGTTCAACTCCAGGACAAAGACATTCTTATGTACTTCAGGGATTATAGTATGGATGCAGAATTTGTCTTTTTGGTGCAGTAAAACATTTTTTTAGGGAAATTTCATATCCATAAAAAGAAATGGGCTGACTCCAAACCACATTTTGTAAATTTCTATGAAGAATTTAAACAAACAAACAAAAAACATTAGGAATAAGAAGGCAATCAAAACTAATTTGATATTTGAAAAATATTGAATCTGAAGTATCAAAATGTATTTTTCTTTCCTTTTTTCTTGACTGTATGTAATGTCTTATTGCTTTGATGTCTGCCCCTGGACTTTGTCTGTTGTATGTCAAATGTAGGATGTTCATGTATGACAATTGAATAGATAAATACAAAATACCAATAAAAAAGTATGTAGTAAGACAACATTTTCAAATCCTTTTAAGCAACGAAATACAATACTTATGGCTTTGTGACAGCCGTGGCCCCTGCCTCCAGCCCCAGCAGTCAGGGGTGTATTTGTGCTTTTATTTTGACATTCAATACACTTTTAAGGGAAAACAACCATAACTTCCATATGAAGCATCCATGACTAGACTGGAACATTGTAATAATATACTAACATACAGGGCCGTCCCTGGCCACCATGAGGGCCCCACGCAAAGTTATAGGATGAGGCCCTCTGTTTCGCGAGCGTCGACGGACGGACGCTAAGGCGAAACCGTGCCGCGCCACACTAATTGCGCCGCATAAGCGCATAGGTGCGCCGCATTTTCGGCTAAGTTGAGGCACCCTCCGCAAGATGAGGCCCCCTCTGCAAGGTGAGGCCCCACGCAGTCTGCATGATCGGCCTGTAGGGAGGGACGGCCCTGCTAACATAACATACCGTGCATGGGAAGCCAACCACTTTTTCACACTGAAAAAGTAGAATTTCTGCAAAGCTTCCCATGTAGTGCGTTTTACCATAACTGCTAAGAAAAATTTGTTTACTTTTAAAAACAATTACAAATAATAAACCCTATTACCCAATATATTACAAAAAGTCCCATGTCAGCAAAATGTGACTCTTAAAAGTGTACGCATGTTCCCAGGTCATAAATAAATTATTGAGTATTTCTACTCTGTGTTACTAATTTCTTTGTCTTACTCTGTGTGTGTTATCATACAAGATTCAAAGGTTTATTGTCATAACATGTACACAACTACGGTGTAATTATGTCATATAATAAAAAACTTAGATCACCGGTTCCTCAACAGTGCAATTTGATTCGGCAACAGACAGAACAGTTTGTGGCTGGGGTGATGGGGGACTTTTATAATCCTGAGGGCTTTCTTCCTGAGCCACTGTGCAGTTTTCACCACCCTCTGTAAAGCCTTACGATTGAGGGCGGTGCAGCTGCCGTACCAGGCCGTGATGCAGCCAGTCAGGATGCTCTCTATGATGCACCTGTAGAAGGTCAGGATCCTCTCTATGGTGCACCTGTAGAAGGTCAGGATGCTCTCTATGATGCACCTGTAGAAGGTCAGGATGCTCTCTATGATGCACCTGTAGAAGGTCAGGATCCTCTCTATGGTGCACCTGTAGAAGGTCAGGATGCTCTCTATGGTGCACCTGTAGAAGGTCAGGATCCTCTCTATGGTGCACCTGTAGAAGGTCAGGATGCTCTCTATGATGCACCTGTAGAAGGTCAGGATCCTCTCTATGGTGCACCTGTAGAAGGTCAGGATGCTCTCTATGGTGCACCTGTAGAAGGTCAGGATCCTCTCTATGGTGCACCTGTAGAAGGTCAGGATCCTCTCTATGGTGCACCTGTAGAAGGTCAGGATCCTCTCTATGGTGCACCTGTAGAAGGTCAGGATGCTCTCTATGGTGCACCTGTAGAAGGTCAGGATCCTCTCTATGGTGCACCTGTAGAAGGTCAGGATGCTCTCTATGGGTGCACCGTGCACCTGTAGAAGGTCAGGATGCTCTCTATGGTGCACCTGTAGAAGGTCAGGATGCTCTCTATGGTGCACCTGTAGAAGGTCAGGATGCTCTCTATGGTGCACCTGTAGAAGGTCAGGATGCTCTCTATGGTGCACCTGTAGAAGGTCAGGATGCTCTCTATGGTGCACCTGTAGAAGGTCAGGATACTCTCTATGGTGCACCTGTAGAAGGTCAGGATGCTCTCTATGGTGCACCTGTAGAAGGTCAGGATGCTCTCTATGGTGCACCTGTAGAAGGTCAGGATGCTCTCTATGGTGCACCTGTAGAAGGTCAGGATACTCTCTATGGTGCACCTGTAGAAGGTCAGGATCCTCTCTATGGTGCACCTGTAGAAGGTCAGGATGCTCTCTATGGTGCACCTGTAGAAGGTCAGGATCCTCTCTATGGTGCACCTGTAGAAGGTCAGGATGCTCTCTATGGTGCACCGTGCACCTGTAGAAGGTCAGGATGCTCTCTATGGTGCACCTGTAGAAGGTCAGGATGCTCTCTATGGTGCACCTGTAGAAGTTGCAGAGTATCCTGGAGTCCATGTTGAACCGCCTCAGCCTGCGGAGGAAGAAGAGCCGCTGTCGAGCTGTTTTGGTGATGACACTGGTGTGATGAGTCCATGTCAGGTCCTCAGTGAAGAGTCCATGTCAGGTTCCTCAGTGATGTGGACACTGAGGAACCTGAAGCTGCTGACTCTCTCCACCGTAGTCCCATTGATGTCGATGGGGGCATTATACTATGTAACGTTTTCATTAACTATTCTATCATTACATGTTTCATATAACAAGTTGTCACTACTATACAGTAAAATGTATGCATCAAATATAATCAGAACCCTAAATCTCCTCATGTTTGCCAACAACTACTGTAAAAACGAATTATTATCACACATGGTACATTTGGAGGATTAAAATAAGGTTTTAGGCAACAAAATAAAACTGTAGAGAAAAAAGTCTGAGCAGCAGGTTCAAGATATTAATGGTTGCATGAAATACAATAATAACAATATTACTTGTATTTTTTAGAGTAACAGGTATAAGTTGTTTGTACTGGATACTTCACATAAATGCAGCGATCATAAAAGATGCATCAAGCATGAAAGCTGTTACCCAACCAGGCTGATGTTGCTGATAAGAAACTACTGTGAGTGTGTGTGTGTGTGTGTGTGTGTGTGTGTGTGTGTGTGTGTGTGTGTGTATGTGCGTGTGCGTGTGTGTGTGTGTGTGCGTGCACGTGCGTGTGTGTGTGCGTGCACGCGCGTGTGTGTGTGCGTGTGTGTGTGTATAAAGCCACAGCCTACAGATCCTGCTTCACTCCGACTCAGCCTGAGGTCACAGCATGGCCTTCAGCCGACTTGTCACCGTGATGCTGCTGATCCACGCCGCAGGTGAGAAATATGATTCTGAATTCATTTATTCAAATGTATCTAATCAATACTATCAATACTTACTAGTAGAATCTTAAACTAAAATCAAAAGTGTCATATTGGTAGTTCTTGCTAGTTGGAATTATTTGCTTTCTTGCATACAGTTAGATGAGATGTTAGCATTAACTATCTTGACCAAGGAAACTTCAAGATGTTGTCTGCAGGGGCTGGAGATCGGACACCTAACCCCAGAATCCATAGAGACATCATGAAAGCTGTGACTGCTTGACATTGAAGGGTTCAGAATCATTTTAAGCACTTTCTAAAAGGCCATTGATCATTTAACTAACTAACTAACCAAGATGTACATGGACTTTAATGGATAGTTTAAAGGAGTTCAAACCTAGAATCTTCTGGTCCATAGTCAGATCTGTTATCGATGGCCCCACCAGTGTTATAAAGTCTGTTCCTGTGTTGTCAGGTGTTCTTGGTGCTGAGGTGAGGAGCTCCATCATTGGGGGGGCGGGATGCCGGTAAGGGCAGTTGGCCACAAATGGCCTTCCTGAAGGCCATCACAGCTGATGGTGTGCACCAGTGGAGCTGTGGCGGCACCATCCTCAACAGTTACTGGGTGATGACTGCTGCTCACTGCTGGAATAAGTAAGTGCTCTTTTCAGGACCCTCATCCTCTTCCGTATCGTGGCTACACTGGTTATTGTAGATATCTGTGTATCAAGATCAATACATTACATTTGAATCAAATTCTCCTCAATTTAATGGGATTCAAAACAACAAAACGTAACAAAGTTTAGTGGGCAGGTAGAATCAGAATACTTTTTTTATCTCTAGGGAAAATATGTTTCGTGACAGTTGTTCTATTTGAGAATGAAATATAATCAAGGATAAATATAAGTATATATAATACAAATATGTAAACAAAAGTTAATAGTGTATCACAGTCCCTACATCTATGAATGACGAGAAAGTAGCTAATGTGTGTTTGTGTTGCCAGACACCCTAACCCTGATACCCGCCGATCGATGGTTTGGCTGGGCACGCACGAACTGCAAAAAAAGTCTGCTCGTTTCCATGGCATCAGTTTCGTCATCTCCCACTCAGAGTACAAGGCCCTGCACCCCGGCTTCCAGCACGACATCGCCCTTATTAAGCTGAAGAAGGAGGTGAGGCTCAATGGTGTGGTCAAAACTGTGACTCTGCCCGGCCCTGATGACATCATCACCCCCTCCTCTGAGTGTTGGATCGCCGGCTGGGGGAACATTGGCGCCAGCAGTAAGTTATGCATGGCAAGCAGCACACACTGTAAGGCCACATATCAGTCCCATAAAACGGCTTATCGTCAGCATATAGAAATGCTAAATTGAGGCGCTGGACATTCCTAATAAAATGTTTGACTTTTCGAAATGAGCTTTTAAGGATATATCTCAGTATTTACAATAATCAACATCTCAACCGCACCAGGATGTGGATAAAGGACTATCCCCTGACCTCAGATGTGTGTGTGTGTGTGTGTGTGTGTGTGTGTGTGTGTGTGCAGCTCCTCTCCCTTATCCGGAGACCCTGCAGGAGCTGCAGATCCCCCTGGTGTCTCAGGAAGTGTGTAAGCAGCAGTATTCTTACCTCCCCACCGACGTGCTGTGTGCAGGGGGAAAAGGGGAGGACGCCTGCGATGTGAGTCTAATAACTGATATAAGTCTGTCTTTGGGGGGGGGGGGGGGGGCGCTATTAGTTAGCAGCTCGAACACCTGTTATTTTAATGCCCCTTTATATTTTAACTCCACTACATTTCAAATGAAAATGTTCTACTTTTTGCTTAACTACATTTATTTGTACTGCTTTAGTTTCCTTTACAAATCAACACTAATGCATCAAAAACTCTTGCTTATAAGATAGGACAATTTGAAACAACTCACCAGCAGTTTGTACAAGAACAGTTAAGTTGATAAATGAAATATCCAATTGAGAGATCATTTTTGCCATCTTTGAATATTTAAGTAATTTATTTTTTATTTTGGGTTGTTTTGAATGTATTTCTTTAGAGGTTTCTGCATCGGGTACTATAACATAATAATGTGTGTGTGTGTGTGTGTGTGTGTGTGTGTGTGTGTGTGTGTGTGTGTGTGTGTGTGTGTGTGTGTGTGTGTGTGTGTGTGTGTGTGTGTGTGCCTTTAAAGGGGGATTACGGTGGCCCGCTGCTTTGCAGAGCTCCTCAGGGGGGCTTTGTTCAGATGGGCATCATGAGTTTTGGGAGTCCTGGCGGCTGCGGGACCGATGGTCTCCCCGGGGTCTTCACCGAAGTGTCCAAGCACCTGCGCTTCATCAACGACTACATCCACACCTGATTGGAATCCTCCGTGGAGATGTAACCCCCAACCCTTTATGCCCCTGCAGTCTTTTATTCTACATGCGTGGTTAAAATGATCTGCATTAAAGCTTTAAAGCATCAGTTTGAGTGTCACGTTGGAGATTTCTTTTACGATTTCTTTTTCTTTTTAAATCAATTTTCACACACTTCCTGTTTCTTTCAATATGTCACATTTTCATCACAAACCTAATACATAGTGTTGTCCACACTACACTAGTTTACCAGTTAAATGTAACCCTTAGATGCACGAGTGACTGATTTGACACTCTTCCATAAGTGGGTCAAAAAGGACCCGTATTAGAATAATATGTGTTTTTATGCCATTTTTGTCATTTTGGTTAAGAAAAATCTCTTGTATAATATTTAGTATTATATTTTGGTTCACACTAGAAATATTTTATATTTAAGTTTTCACTATTTATAATTTTAGACATTTTTCTTTACATTTTGAAAAAAACGAAATCCCATAGAAAATGCATGCGGGTCATTTTTGACCCACTTATGGAAGCTTGGGGTAGTAATACAAAAACTACAATTTCTTAAAATTTAAATTAAAAATGTGTATGGCATGATATCCAAAACATGTTTTTTGAGGAATAGCTGGAATATGAAATGATAAACAAATGTAATTACACAGATACTCTAAGAAAACCACCTCACCGGGTCAAAAAAGACCCACTTATGCATCTAAGGGTTGAATAAAGGTACACTTCTTTAGAACACCACTTTCCCTATTTGCCACATAGATTTGATGGAATCACATTTGTGCCAATAAGATCAAGCAAGACTTCTTTGAGAAAATATAACAAAAAGCGTGTCCCCTCAGAAGTAAAAATGATAACATGCAAATAAATCATTTGTGTAATCATGTCAACTTTAAGTCGCTTTCCTTTTTTAAAACATTTATTTTTATTATTGTATTCTTATTGGCAGACATCTGATTCCATAAGATTTCAGCAGCGAACGATGAACCACAGAGATCGAAAATCATGGGATCAAATATAAAATAATAATACAGAGATTTTATATTTGACTAAAGCTCTTCTGTTTTCCTTATCCGCCAATTAGCACAACATGCAGGAATGAACATCAATGCCATATAAATGAGTCAAATGTTAAGTTACTTTACACAACATGGAGCCCTGAAAATAATCATATTCCTTACAGTTGTCATGTCACGTATTGAGGCTCCGATTGTCACGAGACGTTGTGTCTGTGGTGATAAACAGTTCTCCCTCTAATGTGCCACTTACCCTGTGAACCATTTCAACACCTACCATAAATACTGACATCACTTTGACACCATCAGGGTCACCTTTCTCACAGCTTCTACAGGGTCACAGAAGAAGAGGTCTGGGAACCTGAAAGTCATGTGAAGTGTTGAACACATCCAAAGAAATCTCTCAAATGTTTGTTTAGCATAGAGCAGTGGTTCCCAACCAGGGGTACAGGGACCCTAAGGGTACTTGAGGGGTTGCAGGGGGTATATAGAAAGATTAGGGATTGCAATATTATTTCCACACAACATTTTTTTTTAAAATCAATTTTCATAATCCTGGTGTCCTGCCCCCAGAACTACCAACGCTTAAGAAAGACCAGCAAGCTCAAGTGTCTCAATTAAAGGTGTCCAAACTGCTAGAAGTGAGTCTTAACATTATTATTTCACTCACAACAAATGTAAATCTGAAGTTGAAATGCATTTGTATTAAGGATGAGTTATACAAGTGGGTTTCATCTAAGGAGCATCTGGGTTTAATACAAAGGGTTGAATACTAGAAAATACAAGTCAAAAAGTGTCAATCATCATTTCTATAATGTCTCAACACTTTTCCTTACATATGTCACTCAGTTCTGAAGTTGCTGCTCATCCTTTTTTAGCCATGGATGTGTACTAACTTACCTACTTTATTCTAGTATAACTAATGTGTGCTTTTCTTCTATATATTAATTTGTTAGCTTATTCTGTATTATTGCCTTTTTTATCTGCTATGCCACTTTTGCTTCACAAAGTAAATGTCCCCGCTGTGGGACTCATAAAGGATTTCTGATTATGATTTTGAAAAAACAATGTTTGGTAAGTTTACCAGAGAGACAGATTTGAAAGGTGGAGAGATGGAATGACATGAATGACATGAGCCAAGACCACAATTATGGCAAAGCAAAAAAGCCCAAAATATATCATTTTCACTCCGAGTGGGAGGATGATTATTTTTGTATCTATTCCAATTCAAAGTCCATCTGTCTCATCTGCAATACGAGCGTGGCTTTACCGAAGAAGGGTAATTTAGGAGCGGCATTTCAAAACAGTGCACAAACGCTACGAGACGGAATTCCCTCCTAATTCTGTCCTACGCTCCCAAAAGGTGAGGGACCTGAAAGGACAGCTAAATGCACAGCAGTCCATTTTCACCAGGCCCAACAACAAGAGCAAGGCTGCTACCATAGCATCTTATCGTGTCAGTCACGTTCTGCCAAACACATGAAGTCTTTCAAAGACGGCGAAGTTGTGAAAGAAGCATTCCTGGAGGCTGCCGACGCGCTTTTTGGGGACAGTAAAAATAACAGTAGCATTTCAACAGGTTTTTGATATAATAAAAACTCAAGTTAGATACCGTTATTAATCAGCTGTAAGTTTTTGTTTGTTTGAACTTATTCATTATAATTATTGTACAAAATGGTATAAGAATGTAAACATTAAGATCTGTTCTGTTTAAATTGATTATAGTCTATTATCAATTCAGGTTATTAAGAAACTAGTGTTGCTTGCATCCTATTTTAAAGGCATTTCTTTTTATACTCTACTAAAATGCAAAAAAAATTAATTATTAATTTTGTCTTTTTATTGCACTTTGGCAGCAGATTCCTGTGTAGCTTCAGATCTGAGTTGTCTTATCAGTAAGCCTAATTTATACTTTTGTAGCAACACTATTTTTATATAATGGCAAAGAAAGGGTTCAGAGTCTCTTCTTTTTTTCCTGTGTCATATGTGGCAGCACTGTTCAATGTTTCTTGAAAACATGACCCACTGTAGTATGTGACGTGTGAATAAACTCCAACTCTGTATCAACAACACTGTTGTGTAGCTTCAGTTACATACTTGTATGTGTGTAGATTAGAAAGAGGTCAGATAAAGGATCTGCAGTATTTTATGAAGTATTCATCGTACAAAGGTCAGTTTTATACAAGTAGAAGTGTGTATTTACCTGGTAGTAGGCTGTCAGTAAAGCCTCTCTATTTGGACTGGTAGATCTCGGCAGACTGGCAACTTTAAAAGTAGCTCTCGGTTCAAAACAGGTTGGGCACCCCTGCTGTAGACCGTCATCGGCCTGATCACCAACGACGACGAGACGGCGTACAGAGAGGAGGTCGAAAACCTGACATCTTGGTGCCAGGATAACAACCTCCATCTCAACGTCAGCAAAACCCAGGAGCTGATTGTGGATTACAGGAAGCAGCAGGGAGAGGGACACGCCCCCATCGCCATCAATGGGACTACGGTGGAGGGAGTCAGCAGCTTCAGGTTCCTTGGGGTCCACATCACTGAGGACCTGACATGGACTCTTCACTGAGGACCTGACATGGACTCTTCACACCACCACCATCACCAAGAAAGCTCAACAGTGGCTCTTCTTCCTCCGCAGGCTGAGGAGGTTCAACATGGACTCCAGGATACTCTGCAACTTCTACAGGTGCACCATAGAGAGCATCCTGACCTTCTACAGGTGCATCATAGAGAGCATCCTGACCTTCTACAGGTGCACCATAGAGAGCATCCTGACCTTCTACAGGTGCACCATAGAGAGCATCCTGACCTTCTACAGGTGCACCATAGAGAGCATCCTGACCTTCTACAGGTGCACCATAGAGAGGATCCTGACCTTCTACAGGTGCACCATAGAGAGGATCCTGACCTTCTACAGGTGCACCATAGAGAGCATCCTGACCTTCTACAGGTGCACCATAGAGAGGATCCTGACCTTCTACAGGTGCACCATAGAGAGGATCCTGACTCTACAGAGGGTGGTGAAAACTGCACAGCACATCACCAGGACGGAGCTGCCATCCATGGAGGACCTTTACTCCCAGCGGCTCAGGAAGAAATCCCTCCGGATTATCAAAGACCCCCATCACCCCAGCCACAAACTGTTCAGTCTGCTGCCGTCTACGTTACTTAGAAATTATTTATCTATATCATATTCCAATAACTTGCATAGCCTATCTCTTATTGCACTATTTCACTTTTTAAACTATTTTTCTTTTTGTATTTGCTATTTGCTATGTACTATCACTATATTTTTCTGTTTATCTGTGTTATTGTGTTGCACTGTTGGATGAGCCTGTGACCTAAGATTCTCATCGTCATAACTACACTGTAGCTATGTTCGTATGACAAATAAAAACCTTGAACCTCTGAAAGACTGAGCCCCAGTACAGTTAGTTCGAATTTAAACATTGCCTTCATGACCTTTGGCTTGTATGTCTCAATGCAATATTTGCAAAATCCTGGGATAGAAGTCCAGTTTCAAAATCTTTTTGGAGTCAAATTACCCAAAACACAAGAAATCTAATGCAGGATAAATAAAGCACTGGATGTTTGCTCTCTCCCGGGACAAAGTGATGAGGTGGCATGTGGTCTGAACCTGAAGCTGCTCAGCAAGCAATGCAGAGCAGCTTCTTCACTAAAGATTCAACAGTTACTTTATACTGGACCCAAAAAAGGTTTTGTTTTGTAATGTCTTTTTATGTAAATGTAGCAGAACGTAGCAGTTGCTGTCATTGTGTCTGCAGTTTGGTTTGAATGTAAACAGCATTCCAATAGTATGCTAGCATGCAGAGTGCAATACAGAGATGTTGTGGTTTGACAGAGCAGTATATGAAGTATGAAAGATGTGACCATTGAATGCATTTGGTTTTCATGCAATAAAGAGAGATTCAGTTTAGTCCACATAAGCTTCTGTCGTGCCGACTGTATACCTCAGACATCTCAATAGGTCACCTGTAACCGACTGTATACCTCAGACATCTCAATAGGTCACCTGTAACCGACTGTATACCTCAGACATCTCAATAGGTCACCTGTAACCGACTGTATACCTCAGACATCTCAATAGGTCACCTGTAACCGACTGTATACCTCAGACATCTCAATAGGTCACCTGTAACCGACTGTATACCTCAGACATCTCAATAGGTCACCTGTAACCGACTGTATACCTCAGACATCTCAATAGGTCACCTGTAACCGACTGAATACCTCAGACCTCTCAATAGGTCACCTATAACCGACTGAATACCTCAGACATCTCAATAGGTCACCTGTAACCGACTGTATACCTCAGACATCTCAATAGGTCACCTGTAACCGACTGTATACCTCAGACATCTCAATAGGTCACCTGTAACCGACTGAATACCTCAGACATCTCAATAGGTCACCTGTAACCGACTGTATACCTCAGACATCTCAATAGGTCACCTGTAACCGACTGAATACCTCAGACATCTCAATAGGTCACCTGTAAACCGACTGTATACCTCAGACATCTCAATAGGTCACCTGTAACCGACTGAATACCTCAGACCTCTCAATAGGTCACCTGTAACCGACTGAATACCTCAGACATCTCAATAGGTCACCTGTAACCGACTGTATACCTCAGACATCTCAATAGGTCACCTGTAACCGACTGAATACCTCAGACCTCTCAATAGGTCACCTGTAACCGACTGAATACCTCAGACATCTCAATAGGTCACCTGTAACCGACTGTATACCTCAGACATCTCAATAGGTCACCTGTAACCGACTGAATACCTCAGACATCTCAATAGGTCACCTGTAACCGACTGAATACCTCAGACATCTCAATAGGTCACCTGTAACCGACTGAATACCTCAGACATCTCAATAGGTCACCTGTAACCGACTGAATACCTCAGACCTCTCAATAGGTCACCTGTAACCGACTGAATACCTCAGACATCTCAATAGGTCACCTGTAACCGACTGTATACCTCAGACATCTCAATAGGTCACCTGTAACCGACTGTATACCTCAGACATCTCAATAGGTCACCTGTAACCGACTGTATACCTCAGACATCTCAATAGGTCACCTGTAACCGACTGAATACCTCAGACATCTCTATAGGTCACCTGTAACCGACTGTATACCTCAGACATCTCAATAGGTCACCTGTAACCGACTGAATACCTCAGACATCTCAATAGGTCACCTGTAACCGACTGAATACCTCAGACATCTCAATTAGGTCACCTGTAACCGACTGAATACCTCAGACATCTCAATAGGTCACCTGTAACCGACTGTATACCTCAGACATCTCAATAGGTCACCTGTAACCGACTGAATACCTCAGACCTCTCAATAGGTCACCTATAACCGACTGTATACCTCAGACATCTCAATAGGTCACCTGTAACCGACTGTATACCTCAGACATCTCAATAGGTCATCTGTAACCGACTGAATACCTCAGACATCTCAATAGGTCACCTGTAACCGACTGAATACCTCAGACATCTCAATAGGTCACCTGTAACCGACTGTATACCTCAGACATCTCAATAGGTCACCTGTAACCGACTGAATACCTCAGACATCTCAATAGGTCACCTGTAACCGACTGTATACCTCAGACATCTCAATAGGTCACCTGTAACCGACTGAATACCTCAGACATCTCAATAGGTCACCTGTAACCGACTGTATACCTCAGACATCTCAATAGGTCACCTGTAACCGACTGTATACCTCAGACATCTCAATAGGTCACCTGTAACCGACTGTATACCTCAGACATCTCAATAGGTCACCTGTAACCGACTGAATACCTCAGACATCTCAATAGGTCACCTGTAACCGACTGTATACCTCAGACATCTCAATAGGTCACCTGTAACCGACTGTATACCTCAGACATCTCAATAGGTCAACTGTAACCGACTGAAAGAAAACTAGCAAACTGTGACTACCTTTAAATCGATTTGTCTTACCTCAGAGGTCTGTACTAAAAAGGCATATAAGCTGGTTAGCAAGGTATGTTTACCCTGAAGCTCTCTACCACAGCTGATGTGTGACTGTGTGGAGCAGATGTGCGATCTGTTTTTGGATTCATGGTGTATCTAATCACAATGATTATAGGGTGATGCTGGCCTTCAGGTTTGACTTTGAAAAGCCCTGATGTGCAAGCCTTATCTGCTGCTGATGTTTAACCAGATGTATTTGTATCACTTTATAAAAGATCAAAACATCTGAACACTCGAATAACTGCGGTGGTACTGACAAAGGGAGAGCCTTAAAACGTGGGCTATCTTCCAAATCTTTCACCTTTCATTATGCATACAATTAAAAAAAAAATACTTAACCACTTAACTCCCTTACCCTAATAGCTTAGGATTTGCATGATTTGTAAAAATATTATTATTATTGTTATTATTTTTGACTGATATTGCAATTGTGATATGATTCACAATGTTAAAGAGCAGGATCATGATTGCGTCATAATCCTTTTAAAGAGGATCTGTACCAAACCAATTCGTTTTGTTAGGTCTGTAGAATACAGGTTTAAGCTGTACTATCTCTGCTTCACAATACTTCATTCAAAAAGGTATTTTGAGTCATTTCGTGTTCAACAAATATTGCGATTTCCATAACATTTGAAATAATGTTTAATAATTGTGCAGCACTAGAGCAGATGCAACAGGACATCCTGTTTCAATTTTTAGCATACTGCTGTTGACAATATAGGTTTTTCTGATGAAAAGATGCAGGAACAAAAAGTTGGTGCCAATTTAAAATGCAGAGGATGACCACGGCTACAAGAGGGGGGTCTCTTTAAAATGCTTTATTGATAAAGGCCATTTTAGGTCAAACACTATTTTGATGTCTCACCTTAAAAGCCCTAGAAACACTTCCTGTCTTCTGTTCTGTGCACCAATCAGCATTATCATCACACCCACACAGTCCTGATGAGGCAGAGCGAGGAGTGTTCACTCGTAAGAAATAATACCTAAAGATGATTGTAACACTAGCTTTTACCTTTTTGTCAGAAATCTCACATATTTGGTGAATTAGTTTTCAGGGGCTTTAGGTCAGATAGCAATGACCTGTCTGTGCCTTCAGTAGAGAGGATGCTAACCAAGATTAGCATAAAGACTGTAGTCCCTGGAAACCTAGCCTCTATCAAACGTAAAGAAAAGCAAGCTCTTCAGCAACATGTCCTTGCTATACTCTAGCTGCCAGCAATGTGAACACATACATGTTGAGTAGGGCTGTGCAATTAATCGTATTTTAATCTCGATTACGATTTTGGCTTGCAACGATTACGTAAACAATGTAATCGAAATAAAACTATTATTATTTTTATTAAAAAAACAAAAAAAAACAGCCCTAATGTTGAGTATACCTAAAGTGTTATTGCAGGAATATATAGTACAACTCCCTTGCACATAGAAACTGCTGGATGCTAAATTGCATCCATTTGGCAATTTGCACTATTAGCATTATAGCATTTGAAAACAATAGTTGGCTTGGCCGAGTTGGACCATTTTGGAGTGGTTTTGGAGGTTATTAAGGATGCTGAATCCATTTCTGAAATTGTAAGGATCAATAATGGCATTTTTAGACAGATAGTGGCCATATTTGTGGACTGATTTTGATTAATGTTGGGTTGAATTTGAAGTTTTAATGGACTCTGGATCATTTGGATTGGACAGATTGCTTATCTATTTGAAAATAATTGTCCACAGTAGAGGAAATTATTTTCATTGTGTGCTCTCTAGTTTCAATGGTCACAACTTTAGTCCTGGTAGTCAAAATCAGTCCACGAGAGTACAAATGCAACCAAAAACTGCAATATTTGATTCTGAAACTGATCCTCGACTTCCTCAATAACTCCCCAAACCACTCCAAGATTGTCCAAATCAGCCAAAACTGTGTTCTTAACTATTGTTTACATATGCTATAATGTTAATTCATGCTAATTAACACAACTTGTGCTAATTGTGCGATTGCCCAACATATGCAAGTTAGCATCCAGCAGTTTCTATGTGCTGGGGACCCGTACTTTACATTTCTAACATAGAATGTTGGGGTACTCACTATAGGACTTTATGAGCTGGCAAACAGACTACTCCGCTAAACAGTGACTTCTATGATAGAGGAGCATCTCATCCAAAGGCACATACATAAGTCAATGCTCAACAGGATATCCTTTATGTTCATTCATGAGTCAAATGAAGAAATTAAAGTCCTTTAACTTTGGCTTAAATCAGTCAGACATTGTGCTCTTAAAATATTTGTCTTAAAAATTTGAAAAACTTGTTAGAATCAGGAGAGGAACTCCAAAACCTGTCACAGCAAAGAAAATAGAACAAAAGAAAGAATAGTTAATGTTTGTTCTAGAAATCCGCATCACATCAATCATTTGGTGGCTGGTCGCTCTCTTCCTGTTGAGGGGGTCTCTACGTGCACACACTGATCCTCTCCCAGCACATCACAGGAGAGCTTTACCGTGGAGAACATCTGGACTCTGATGAGACCAGATGCTGGTCAACCTTTTAGACATAGAAATGTATGACCTAATGGCTTGTCTGATCAGAGAAATGACCTAATCTGGCTTAGTCTCAGCAGGGGGTCATGTGACCTCTCAGTGTGCACGTAGAGATGTATAGATATAGAGTCTTGTTCAAAGTGGCTGAACCTGAAGCTTTGTGGGAGGCTGAGGAGAGGAGCTGATCTCTCTTTCTGTGGCGCTGCCATTCTTCTTTTCTTCCTTTGTCTCCTCCCTCGTCTCCTCCCTCGTCTCCTCCCTCGTCTTCTCCTTCGTCTCCTCCCTCGTCTCCTCCCTCGTCTCCTCCCTCGTCTCCTCCCTCGTCTTCTCCTTCGTCTCCTCCCTCGTCTCCTCCCTCGTCTCCTCCCTCGTCTTCTCCTTCGTCTCCTCCCTCGTCTCCTCCCTCGTCTCCTCCCTCGTCTCCTCCCTCGTCTCCTCGCCGTTCACCTTCCCGTTCTCCTCAGCTTTCTGTTTCTCTGCTTTGGTCTTAAACCTCAGCCCGTGGCCTGTGAAGCAAATGTTGGATTATTTACACAGTAGTATACACAAGCAGGCGAGTTATGTGGGAGCCAATGGGAGCTGAGCTCCCATAAGGAGGGGTCTGAGCTCCCACGGACGCAGTGAAATCATACATCTGTGGGGGTCGCTAATACATTACCAACAACCATTATTTTAATCACAAATAATGCATGTGTCAATTTAATGAGTATTATTTACGTTAACGAGGTAAATAGGCTAAAAGAAAAACATGTTTCCAAAAGAACTACGCATCTCTTGAATGACAATATGCCTGCACTGCACCTCCAAGGTGCATTATTGCGCAAGCTATGCCTGTGAGCGTGCTGCGCGAGCCGAGATGATGTGTGTGTGCGTAGTTGAACCTTTTCATATTTAAGTTTGTAGCAAGTAGAGAGCTGCTGCTGTGTGTGTGCAGGCCCGGACTGGCCATCAGGAGGACCAGGAGGTTTCCCGTGGCGCGCGCGCGAGAGCGAGAGCGAGAGCGAGAGCGAGAGCGAGAGAGAGAGAGAGCACACCAGTTACTTTTATTGTTGTTGTTAGCATCTGGTGCTAGCTAGCTACGCTAACGGCTTTAGGGAGATGTTTCAACCAACAACAAGGTGAAGGGAGAGTCCTCTGCTGTCAGACTGAGAGATAACTACAGCTCAGGTGAGGTAAAGGACTCTCTGAGTGTTTAGATAGTTAACTTAGTCAGTTATCTCAGTGGGTCTCAAACGGTTTGGTCACCATTTATGTAAACACATATTTCCATTTGAGCGGGGAGTGATTAGTAAAATATGCATGAATAAAAAGAAAGAAAATGTTAACTAGGTGAAAAAAGGTAAGATAAACTTTTAAAGTCTTTGCTGGTGCCTCAAAGAGGAGCAGGGGGAGAGGAGGAAGAGGAGGGAGAGGAGGGAGACAGGTGAGGCTGGTTCAGGAGCCCAGACACACTCGCAACTTTAAATGAACCAAAAATAAATATGTTTTTTTCATATTGGATATAGTATGTTATTGGTTATGGCCATGTTCTTATGATTTTATGATTATTTAAATGTATACAGTTCTGTTTCATATGGGTGTTTCCATAGATCTAGTCTCTTTATTCTCCCCTCAAAATGCACCAGATTGATGCATTTAACTCCAAAATGATATCTTATCGGGGGAGCATGCCCCCAGACCCCCCTAGAGGATTTGAGGTCCACCCCCACTTAAAATATGTTCACATGGATAGGTTCCTACATACATTTCTTTAAATAGTAACCCCTGTCCATATGTTTATTATTTGGTAGTAGATTTAAACTATAGGGCAATCACTATGGGCAGCAACGCTGTAAATATTGACAAATAAATCAAGCAAAATGGCACAAGAAAAAACTGGTAGTGGCCTGGCTGGGTGTATAATGTTTGAGTTAGTTTTAAAGAACCCCATAGAGCTCAGTTTATAACTCGAACCCTGCACACAAGCATTTATGTATATACATTTATAATTGTATACATACAAATCATAAACATATATACCCATAAAAACACACGCACATTAATGTTTTAGGGCAAGGTTTGTGAATACTCTTACAGAATTAACATAATAAAAACGCATTAAAATCTAACTCATATGGGACCTTTAAACTGTAGCCTATGAGAAGCAGCTTTATGGGACTTTTTGGATTTTCACACAGTATATGCAGTTTTCTGTTAGAAAACCACGAATGATAACCCCATAATCAGATACATTAGCCGCTTTCACCAAGTACTTTGCCGTACTTAGTTCCCAGCACTTAGTTCCCAGCACTTAGTTCCCAGCACTTAGTTCCCCATGGAACAAAAGAGCAGATCGCGTTCACACCGGAATAAGTCCCTGAGGGAAGATTACGCAAATGAAGCCGTTGACGTCACTTTTTCTTCTGCTTTGGGTTTACTGGCAGGCCGTAAACAACTTCACGGCGTAATACGTACACAAAACCCGAAGTCCCCCGAGTTGGGGACTGGCTTCAGTAGAAGCTGCTGGGACTCCCAGCAGCTTCTACTGAAGCCTTCAGAGTAAATCGCCAGAACGCCGACACCTCCTCATCTCCACCGCTCCCATGTTTTTTTTTGTGTTGCCATAAGTTATTCTCTCTCCGTTGGTGCGTGGGGCTAATGCTAATAATGCCAGCAAATACAATGGCGGCTTCACAAAACCTTTTCAGAGTTTTACGGGGCGTGATTTGCAATTCGGCCAGCCAATCAGAAATTGGAACTTTTTTCTCCCCAGGAAAGTACCTGCTCTCTAGCAGGAGCCAGGGACTGAAAAGGGGGGAAAAGTTCTCATGAACTAAGTTCTCTTTTTGGTGTGAACGCAAAATCCCAGGAACTATCGGAACTAAAAGGGAAAAGTACTCTGGTGTGAAAGCGCCTAATCTGAATAAAGCAGAACACTCACTTGGACAGTCTGCCACCTCCTTGTAGGCTTTCTTCTTGCAGCAGGCTCGACACAGGTTGAACACACATTTGTTCCCCTGCAGAGCACAACACAGAGCGTCAGGATGCAAATGTCTTCTGATGCACGGTGATTGTGTTTTAACACAGTTCTTCAGGACAGCTTGGTGTCCTTATTGACATTACACACTGACCTTTGGGTTCCCACACTGCTCACACTTGACATACTTGGCTGTAAGAGAACAGAAGGACATTTCATTGGACGTTCTGTGGCCTTCTAGCATTTCTTCAGTTTGATGTTAGAGAGCATAGGCGCGTTCACACCGCAGTACTTTTCCCACTTTAGTTCCGATATAGTTCCGAAATGTCGCGTTCACACCAAAAAGAGCCAGAACTAAAATGAGTTCATGAGAACCGTTTTACCCCCTTTTCCGTCAGTTTCCCGTCCCTGCTAGAGAGCAGGTACTTTTGTGGGAGAAAAAGGTTCCTATGTCTGATTGGCTGGGCGTAATGCAAACCACGCCCCGTAAAACTCCCAAAAAGTTTTGTGAAGCCGCCATTTTATTATCCTCGCATTAGCATTATTAGCATTAGCATTAGCCCAGCGCAGAAACGCAGAGAGACTAACTTATGGCAACACAAAAGAAAACATGGGAGCGGTGGAGATGAGGAGGTGTCGGCGTTCTGGCAATTTACTCGGAAGGCTTCAGTAGAAGCTGCTGGGAGTCCCAGCAGCTTCTACTGAAGCCAGTCCCCAACTCCGGGGACTTCCGGCCGGGGACTTCCGGCGGAAGTATACGCCGTGAAGTTGTTTGCGGCCTGCCAGTAAACCCAAAGCAGAAGAAGAAGAAGTGACGTCAGCGGCTTCATTTGCCTAATCCTTCCCCCAGGGACTTATTCCGGTGTGAACGCGATCTGTACTAAGTTCATGAGAACTAAAGAGTTCTGATGAACCTTTGTGGGAAAAGTACTGCGGTGTGAATGAGCCTCATGACTCACGTTTCTGCTCGAGACAGAAGTTCTTGTTGGGGTTTCGGGATTTCTTCTTCTGCTTGTTTTTGGAGAGCTGGTCAGCTGTTCCGTCAGAGTCCTCCAGCGCCCTCTTCTGACACATCGCCTTCATCACCTCTGGACCCCGTTTGTTATCGTAAGGAACCGGCTCCTCGGGCCTAGGGCTGCTCGATTATGGCAAAATCACGATTATTTCGGTCAATATTGACGTCACTATTATTAAATACGATTATTCATTGACATATGCCTGCACTGCACCTCCAAGGTGGATTAAAGTTCAATCCATTTATTGGACTTTAAAAAAAACTGTAAATAATAATTTGAACAGTATCTTTTTAACAGTTGATTACTCTGAACTTTAAGTATAATTCAACTGCAAAGTATTCAGCTGAAGCCACATCTTTTTCAACTTCCCCACGGCATTTGTCATATAGGGCAGGCAGTGCAGATCTGGTGAAATGATCCCTAGATGGCATCACGTAACGCTTGTCCATAGTGCTAACCAGTTGTCCATAGTGCTAACCAGTTGTCCATAGTGCTAACCAGTTGTCCATAGTGTTAACCAGTTGTCCATAGTGTTAACCAGTTGTCCATAGTGCTAACCAGTTGTCCATAGTGTTAACCAGTTGTCCATAGTGCTAACCAGTTGTCCATAGTGCTAACCAGTTGTCCATAGTGTTAACCAGTTGTCCATAGTGTTAACCAGTTGTCCATAGTGTTAACCAGTTGTCCATAGTGTTAACCAGTTGTCCATAGTGTTAACCAGTTGTCCATAGTGCTAACCAGTTGTCCATAGTGTTAACCAGTTGTCCATAGTGTTAACCAGTTGTCCATAGTGTTAACCAGTTGTCCATAGTGTTAACCAGTTGTCCATAGTGTTAACCAGTTGCTTAAACCCCTGGTTGCTAACCGTGCTAACTGGGCACATGTCTTTAGCTATGTAGAATGTGATGGATCTGTTGAGTCTTTGCGAGCTAGTTGAGTATGCCGTTGCACTGTAAAGCGCGTCCTTAATTGATGACTGTGATGTGGTGGATGAAGGCGAGGGGGCACGCTCGTGAACTGTCAACGGGGGGGCCTCACGCGGGGAAACTGTGGACCTCTGTCGCCTGTCAGCGCAATTGAAATGATGACGTTTTAAAAAAGCGGTCCGGGCCGGCCGTCTGTGATTCTCCAGAACACACAGATGGCCAGTCCGCCCCTGCTGCACTGTACTTTTTTTTGTTCCACGTTGGACTCCTTAAACCCAAAGTATTTCCAAACAGCGGAATTCGTGTTACCTTTCTTGTTCACCAGTTGCTCTTGTTCTGCCATCTGCCAGTGCTGAACTCGCACAACTATTGTCACTCACAACCTGGCCGAGAGGGCTTTTAGGGAGGGGCGAAAGCGCACGCAGCAAAATAATCGTTTTATTTCGATTACGTTATTTTCGTAATCGTTGCAAGCCAAAATCGTAATCGAGATTAAAATATGATTAATTGCACAGCCCTACTTGGGCCTGAAAGATTGGAAGTAAGGTTAGTGGTTACTAGTCTGTTTGCCAGCTCATAGAGTCCTAAGAAAAGTTTTATGTTAGAAATGTATAGCACGAGTCCCCAGCACATAGTAACTGCCGGATGCTAACTTGCATATATTGGGCAATTTGCACTATTAGCATTAGTGAGCATTAATTAGCATATGCAGACGATAGTTAAAAAATGGCTTGGCCGATTTGGACAATTTTGGGAGTAGTTTTGGGGGTTAGTGAGGATGTTGAATCAATTTCTGACATTTTCAGAATTAAATATGGCTGATATTTATGATTTTTGGGTCGATTTTAAAGTTTTAGGGGACCTCAAAACTGCCATTTCTGATCCTAAAAATTGCAGAAAACATCCTCAATATACCTAAAAAACCACACCAAAATTGTCCAACACTGCTGGCAAGTAGACAATACCCAAGGAATGTGTCAATAAATCTGCAACTCAATGTCCAAAAGTTTGAACTCAGTGAAAAAACTCACACTGGTCTGATGTAAGGCTGGCAGATCCAGTGAGGGAAGGGCAGGCTGCTCTTCTTCTCCTCACCTCCCTTTCCATTGGCTATCTCCTCCTGCGCAAACACACACAGTAAATAACTGTCAGGTATCCTCACAAAGATAGCTTTGCAAACACAACATTTTCAACAGTGCTGCATGCTGTTACCTGGCAACGCAGCTTCAGCTGTTTGCTGACATCGGCCAAACCCTCCACAGTCTTCATTTTGCCCATGTCCTCTCTAAGGTCCTGGTGGATCTGTAGCCTACACACACACACACACACATCCCACAATAAATCATCTGAGTGAGACATTGTTGATTTTCTATCATACTGTGAGTGACCCTCCTACAGTGGTGACCCTATCTCACACCCCCTTACAACTTCAACAAACTGGCACGGCAAGGTTCGGCAAAATGCCTCCATTTTCAACCGAAGTAGTTGTTGGAGCTATATATATATTTATTTATATTATTTAATAGTTGAACCTTTATTTTCTTGTTGTTTTTGTTTATTGTAAATGTACCTTTTATTTTTGTTGTATTTGAGTTGTTTTATGCTTTTATTTTGAAGGCAGCTTTGGGCACCTGGTGATTATGCATATATTGGAAACAGGAGATGGTGGGATTAGCGCACCAGTGCGGGATATGCTTTTTACCCGTGTGAAACACCGATAGGGTAAGGATGCAGGACAAGAAAAAAATAAAGGGATGTTTCTTTTTTAAACGCATTAGGGTTTCCAGATTAATTGCAATTCACGTTGACAGCCCTAACCCTAATTCAAATGCATACAAAATGGGCTCCTATACTGCAGTAATACAGTATATATAGTACAAGTCTGCTATTTACTGAGTTCAGGTTTTCAATTAATCAATCACATTTTATTTATAGAACTCATTAACGCAAATGACACATTGTCTCAGGGGGCTTTACAATGTGTGGGGCTTACAACACCCTCTGTGCTTCCCAAGAAACCCCATCATTAATGTGGAATAATGTGTTATACACTGAACATGACAATAACAAATGACTTATAATACAATAATTACTTATAATTTAGTAAAGTTATTGCTGGCAGTTACTTCAACGTGTGCTTGTGTCTATATTTACTCTTTCTACTGTTTGTATTTTTTTCAATTTCCCCGCTATGGGAAGAATGAAGGACTTCTGATTCTGATTATAAAACTCGGGAAGTGCAACAGAGGAGAGGTCACTCTAGAAGTGGATAGATGTTGTGATAATGCAACCAAATATAAAAAAAAGAGGATTTCAGATAGCTTCCAAGCGCCACACAGGTGCATAACATCGCACACAGCATGACATCTCCACAATCATCTGTGTGTGTGTGGTCATACATCAGACATACGTGTGGTGCCAGAGCTTGAAGAGGTGGGCTCGTACGTAGGACAGAGTGCTGGGGGGGTGCAGCTTCACCAGCTCCAGATACTCCTCCGCTATCTCCCACACCGGGGGGCTGTGGCCCTCAAACAGCGCCGGGTTGTGGAGGTTCCCCTCTGAAAAGAATATGAACAGAAATTTGTATATAATCTATAATAATCTCCTCACAGCTCAACGCCATGACAACCACACCGTGAACCTCCATCTGTCTGTCCAGAATGTCATTCCTTCATCATTTTGAAGAAATTCCCTCGTCATGATATAGCCCTACTTTTAAATTTGGATTGAAATAGACTTCCTTGTGTTTAAACACATTGTTATTTTTTATCCATCTTTCAAGACTTTGACACAAAAAGCTGTTATCTGTTCCCTGTGCAAAAAAAAGGTTTTTCACTTGTTTTTGCTCTATATCCTGCCCCATTTTTTTCATATTTACTTATTTTTCTTTAACCCGCTGAGGTCGACGATGTCGCTGGCGACAGAAAAAAGTTTCACAACACTCGCGGGATTATCTCCGCAGCAGAGAGAGTTTAAGTTTCACTTTCAACTGCATGTTATAGCCCAGCACCATACCTCCATCACACACGGTTTGTACAATTTCAGCCGATTTGTCATCCATTCTAGAAAAACTATGTTTTTTAGAGATAAAGAAGCCTGAAAAAAATGTATGGATGTCTTTTATGTACATTTATCCATGTTGGAAGTAGACTTTGATGTTTCAGGAGTTGGATAAAGATTATAGAGATGCAAATGAACAGGGAGTGTCATCCATCTTTTTTTTTTTTACTCACCCCTGGAGGTGTAGACAGTGTGATGTGGCCCTCTGCCTTGTGCCAGACACAAACTGCTTTGAGGAATGGCACAACTAATCTTGCTGATATAATAACACCATGACTTTTTTTGGTAAATATTGTAAATACATATTGATTTTTTCCTTTGAAATATTTAAAGTTTTCCCGTTTCAGGCGTTCCTCATAAATCCTTATCAAGATACAGGGACGGATGGGCACTAACGCATAGCCTGAGCATGAATGTACATTATAGAAGATCACTTATTAACATGTAATGTGAAACAATACCTGCGCTCATGACTCCCTGCACTCCCGTCTCCTGAATGCAGCACTCCACGTCACTCAGGTGCTGAATGTTGCCATTTGCAAACACTGGAATATTTACCGCCTTCCTGCAGCACAAACACAACAAACCTGATTTGGTATAGCTATGATAGGAGCACCAGATACACTTGCAGGATTTAAAAGGAGGTGACTTAGCTTACCGTACTGCCCTAATGTGCTCCCAGTTAGCGATCCCCGTCATGGGTCCTTTCTGGTCTTTGGTTCTGCCGTGCACTGTCAGCAGCTGGGAAGATATTTGACAAACATTTAAACAACATCTTAAGCTTCCTGAAACAGATAGCAGATTGTACAGATTCGTAAAAACAGTTGATGAATTGTTTCTGCATGAACATGGTCCCACCTGACAGCCAGCTCTTTCCAGCATCTGGGCGTAGCGGACCGTCTTCTCCATCTCCTCGAACACACGGATCTTGCAGGTAATGGGCACCGAGAGCTTTTCATTGGCTAACCTGACTGAAACATGAGAGGAATGTTCAGAGACAGTAAAACACTTTAATAATAACTTCATAGAGTGATGACATATTTTTTGGAAGGCAAACGGGTAGTTAGCGTGACAACACTTTCCTCGAGAAAAAGCAATGGGATTTTTCCATTGGATATCGAAATATTGGAGACACTTAGATCAACATTTTAATGATACTTACATGTTTTGAGGATAATCTCCACACATTAACACCTTTTTAATAATTGAAGCAGAAATGAAATCCCCAGAAGTAAAAAGCTAACATAATGCAATAAACTAAATACATGATGGTCACATGACTTCATGTCACATTAGGCCACTTGTTAGCTTCCGATGTTTTCAGGCATTCACCAGTGGGGTATTTACTGACGTAGCTTGTCGTAGAACAAAACGTGAAAATCTCTCCAGCTTGTGTTAACCTCAGACCTTATTACCGTGAATCTAACCAAAACCAAAAAACATTGAATTCAAGACAGGGGAAGGGGAAGTGGTAAAATGCCAACTAATTTCCACGTTTTGGGACTCATTCCTGCACCACTCTGTAATACACTGAGGTCATCCCGACAATACGTTTAAATCAGACTTACTCATCTTCTCTAGCAGCTCCCACTTGTCTTGTAGGAAAGCTCCATACTGCCCTGAGAAACAAGCATCGAGGGAGGTTAGTTTTCTGCGAGGGGGGGCTTTTCTGATCATCCACTAAGAGGTTTTTTCTGCAGCAACTGAGAGTACCTCTCTTTGCGATCATCTGTGGGCAGCCCAGGTTCAGGTCGATGGCGTCGCAGTAGTCCTGCGCCATCAGAGCCGCCTGAACGAACACCTCTGGATCATTGGCACAAAACTGACACACAGAGGAAGCAATGATAACCAATGGTAATGTCAGACAAAACGTGTTAATGGAAACTATTATAACAGAACTTGGAAGGTATAATAAAGATGGTGGTAATGTTCCATGAATCACCTGTGTGATGAGCGGTCTGTCCTCCTCACACACTTCATTGTAGAGGTTATCTCTCCTGTAGTTAGCGTTCCTAACAAACACCTGAGCGTGCAGCATGGGGGTGTAGCAGAGATGAGCGCCGTGCCTGCGACTCAGCAGCCGCCACGCCAGCTCGCTCTGGTCCACCATGGGGGCCACCACATATCGGGCTTCCTTCAGGGTCTTCCTCCAGAACTCAAAGGCCTGCAGCTTGGCCATCACAGCAGACTTCAACAGACAGGAAGAACAGAAAGTCATAAAGAGCCTGCAGGAAAGCTAACACACCAAGAAGGTCCTCCAAGAAATAAACTGTGAATAATAACATTTTAGCAACACATTCAGGTAGCTGTCAAAGCTTGGAAACCTAATATTGAATGGTGTTGTATTCTGAAGTACAGCCAGTGGTGGAAGGAGTACTCAAATGTTTTAGTTGAATAAAAGTAGCAATACTTAATTGTACCCTGATACAAGTAAAATTCCTACATTCAAATCTTACTCAAAATATACTTAAAGGAACAAAAGTAAAAGTACTCGTTAAGCGTAATGGCCAATTTAAGAATCATATTTGTAGTTTTACCAATATGCTGGATATCTCAACCTATAATTTCATGTAAAAGTGTATTTAATGATTTAGTTATATTTTATATTAGCTAATAATCTTAATCTGAAAAGTAACTATTAATTAAAAAGTGTCGGATGAAAGTAGTGGAGTAAAAAGTTAAATACTGGCTGCCAAACTGTACTGAAGTAGAATTTCTAAAATTACTCAAGTAAAGTACAAATACCTGAAAATGTTACTTAATTACAATTTGAGTAAATGTACTTCGTTACATTTCACCACTGAGTATAGCTTTCATTAGCTTCTTGCTGTTAAACACTGTATTATTATATTGAATAGCCCAACTAGCTAGCCTAGCTTTATTTGCACTGCCCTCCCAACATTAGCACAAACAAAGTACACACAGTACTTAATTATCTTCGTTTCGAGTGTTTCTGTGTAACACTTCATAGTTATTATTATTATTATTATTAGTGTTTTTATAATTAGCTGTGTCTGGGCCGTGCTGCGGTTAGCTATCCGAGCTAGCAGCAGCTCATGATCGAGCTGCATGTGTTTCTCTGGCAGCGCGTGCACCGCCCCGCTACAGTACCAACTGTAACCTGAGTAATACCCGTATGTACCTGTACTACCTATATGTCCTATGCTACTTGTTCTGCTAATATATGCTGAGAGTTTGCCGTGTCACCTGCAGTACTGAGAGCTTTGAAGAGTATTCCAGGCGCAGCACTTTCCAAATGTGTGCAACAGAGAAACACCACCGAGAAGAAACGTTCCCTTTCTATCGTTCCTACGGCTTTCCTCTTTTCATTTTGCTAGGTTCATTTGGAGCATTTCCGCCCCCAGCTGGTATGGAGTGTCTACTATGTATCTCATTATCAATATTACCATTATTTTTTTCTTAATGGATTTGAATCATATACAGTCTATAATTTGAATGAATGAACAACATCCAATGTGGGGGCCCTTTTGTAGAACATCTATCAGATCATTGCATTGCTTTTTTCTTCCTCGTATTTCTGATATAGTAGAAAATGCTGCATTATATTAAACTACTTTAAGGAGTGCTTTTCAGTTATGTCATTCTCTAATCTCTCATGTTTAATTACTTTAATCTCTGAAATCATCGCCCTTTACTTTCCTTCAATGTCTGTTAAATACTGCTTTGATATCTGGTTTGCTGAAATTAATGTTATTATTTTTGTACCCCCTTTTGCAACCCTTTCTGCAATTGTATCCACTTTGATACAAATACTATCCATTAAAAGTGTTAGTCAATCCCATGGATGTAGGTCAATCCATAATTTGTGGTTGTTATGCATAGTGGAAAAGACTAATTTAGACTAATTTCAAGATAGCAATGGAAGCATGAAAAATACTTCATTACAAGTAAGAGCCCTGCGTTCTAGCGACAAGAGAATGAGTATACTGTCAGATAATCAGTTTCAAGGATTCATTTACTATTCAATCTACAACTATGTTATGTTTTGTTTGCATGTGTTACGTAACTCCAGACATCCTCATTCACACATTTTCTTTAAAGACCTTTTAAAGTGAATCACTGTATTATCAACTTTAAATGAAGGTTAATTTGAATACAGGCACCTAATTTGACACATTTATTAGAGCAGCTTATACCATGACAGGCTTGCAAATATTGCTCATTAAAGACACAGGAATCCGACTTCATTTACAATTACATTTGACAACTTTCGGCAAACAGATGTTTTTCTTCTTATTGCATTATGGATACAGAATCTGTCTTTTACAGAATCATACAGAAACCAATATGCTAAAATGAAAGTAATGTTGTAGTGTTGGACTTCTATCAGGAACATTCAGTAGGAATTTGTATTTAAACATTTTATTTATAGTTAAAGCAGCTGCTTTTATAGCTTGTCGTGAGCTTTTCTTTCACATTCTGAAATACATTGGCTGTGGCTTTGTTTCACACATACACACATATACTGTACATTGAAATCACAGTGAGTCACATTTAACAGACAGATCAATAAAGCTAAGAGAGCATGATATTCAGCTAAACACATGGACTTACCTTAGATAAAATAACCTATATCATATGAAAATAAATACAATATATATTGAATTTGAAAGTATCTCTGTTGAATGATAAAATGAAGACATGAGGTCTCTTTACTAAGATGAGTGACACTTCAAGTCCCACTTGAAGTTCACCCATCACCATGGAAACTGACTCACCCACCCAGCTGCTGTGTTATATGATGCACTGCAAGTGCACCACTAATAACAGGGAACATGTTTGGCTTCCTGTACTAAAACAAGTGTATTGCATTGTGGGACAATTATGGGACAAAGTGATCCCTCCTCTATACTACACTCTGTGAGAGCTGTGTAGGCAAAACACTTTAAACACATGTGTAAACACTTCACTTAAAGACTGTGTGCTAGACTAATGGGCCGTGGTGATGAAGACAATACTTACAACCTGAGGAGGAATCATAAAGCTTCCACCAAAGCAGCAACAATCTTTAAACACTTACACTCCATACACTTAGCAACCATTAGCAACCATTAATTACTGACACAACGGAAACCACTTGTCACTTCATCATTGAGTCAGGCTTAACTGTTAAGCACTGACAGCACAGAGAGACATTTGTACTTTGATGACAGCAACTCATTTTCAAAGCGTACATTAACCATTTTAAAGGTCACTTATTATGCAAAATCCACTTTTTCATGTCTTTTATACGTAAACATGTGTCCCCTCTGTGTAAAGAGATTCTGAAAGTTTCAGGAAAAAATATTCGCTCACTTTTTGTCCTGATCCATTTATATAAAAACCTGTCTGAAAATGAGCTGATCAGATTTTGGCCACTTTGTGATGTCATAACGATTTTTTGGATTTTTTGGATTGTGTAACCATTAGCCAATAACCAACAAAGGTAACCCCCCCCCCCTTATCACCTGAATCTCCTCCTAGAGCACCATTGAGTTCTTTTTAACCAAATATCTCTCAGAGGGGCGTGGGGAGTGGCTCCTTATTTTCATCTAAAGTAACAGACAGAGAATCAGCACTTTTGAAACAGGGCTGAAACAGAGGGGATTATGGGATGCTGCAATTCATGATCTGTTTGGTGTTTGGAGCCAAACACTTCAGAGACATGTTTTGTATATATTTGTAGACCTATTATATATTGATGAAAAACAGTATAATAGGGGACCTTTAAGCAACAATGGAAAGGAGTTATTCCTCACGCGACGGAGCTGTTTTCACTCCTTCAAAAAGCAGACATGAGAAGACCAAAACTAACAGTGTATTAGTCCATCACTCAATACTTTCACAAACACACAGTTTGCATGGCTCTCAGCTCAAAGCCCATTGGTACCTCCTTCAGATCTTCAAAACTATAACATTTGTCATTTCCTAAAACAGCCAATACTGCATTGTTTTTTACATAAAACTAAGCAGTTCGACTTCTACCAAATTGTAATGCTCATCCACCTTTATTTATTGCTGACCCTATCCTGCTAGAGTACATCAGAGCCTTGCTTTGCCAGTTGGCAGTTAGCATGTCTGATAACTAGCTAAGAGATCTACTGTGACTAACTCTTGCTAACAAATTGTGGCTAGCTAGTGTTAGCTGTTAGCCTGCTAGTCTTCACTATGTCACCAAGGGTCGTTTCTAGATGGTGACCCAGAATTTTAAAACTTTTGTGAGATAGTTAAGGGTAGAATAGGTCCAAAGACATCAAGTCTGGCAAACTTTTCACAAAGGTTCACATATTGACGGTCACCTTTTGAACACGCATGAATCTATATATCTAATATTAGGTTAACTGCTCCACATTTGAATGTAACAGGGTTCAGTAAGATACATCGATTGTTGATTTAACTGGGAAGATAGACAATACAATTATTTCTCCAGCTAAAATCTCATAAACAACTGTATTAATCTCTTTTCATGGTATTTGCTGACACTATGAATTCAGAATATCATCAAAATCAGTTGCTGGTTAATTAAAAATAAAAATTTGACTTTTGATAAAAACTGTATCCACAAGCCAGTGCTGCACCACATTTATCATTTATAACATCTAGTGATGAAATATTGCTGACGTAACTCTTACTATTACTATTTCATATGGCAGTGGTAGCGATAAAACAGCCATTCTCCCTGGCCTTCTAGTCAGAGCGGAGTATGACACCTGACTATTCCCTGTGTTTTTGTTTTTTATATTTCTGTTGTAAATTATTGTCTTTTATTGAGATTGTAGTAAAGTGTTTTTATTACATTTTGGCTCGACCAAAAATCGCTTTTAAATGTGTTATATAAATAAAACTTGATTTGATTTGATTGACATCTGGATTAAACACTAAATTTAAGGAAAGCACAACTATCTAACGGTGTTCAAAGTTCACTGTTGGGGGGTTATAAAACCGGTATGGGCCCCCTGCATGACCGATCACAGACTTGTCTCAGGACTGTTGGCCATGTCTCCATTTTGTGTTGGCTCTTTCAAGAACTTTTCCACTTCCTGTGAGTCCACTGTTAAACTTGCTGGCCTGATCCTCTCTTCTTTATCTTTGTCTGTTTCCTCTTTCTCCTCCAACTCCTCCTTTGTCTCCTTTTCTTGCTCCTCTCTTGCTCCCTTCTCTTCTTCGTCATTGACGTCTGGATCTTTGCTGCACTCCTCTGTCACTGTGATGTTCTCAAGCTTGTCTGCTGATGCTGAGGGCTCTTTCTTGATAAACAGGAAGTTACATGTAGCCAGGACGACAGCGGCCAGGACCACCTCGCATCCTGCCAGCAGGAAGATCCACATGTAGTTATGGGTGGCATCAAGAAGCCGGCCTGACAGAGAAGGAGGAGACAGATGAGAGGATTACTTAGGTTACAAAACATGGCCTAACTGTGTACTGAATAACAGGGGAGAGGAACACATGGATAGGTGCATGGATTTTGGTTTGGTCTGATATTGTTAAGCAATCGAATACTGTAGCTTGTCACCAATCTTCAGAGAGTTAGGAAGCAGACGTGGTGCCTGAAGCTAATCATTCTTCATGAAACTGAATGTATTAGGGTGTTGTTCAACGACTTGTGAATAATAACCCTCCCCAATAAAGTATTATGGTTTTGTTTATGTCTGCGTTTGCCTAAATGAACTGAAACTAATTTGGCGAGCTTTGAGCAATCAGTGCATGGTTGACGTTCCAAGCACCCAGTGGACTCTAGGGAAGCAACACCTTGGGAGTTCACTGTTAAAATCCTTTCTTTTGGCGGCACTAGATGACACCGTTTTGGCCTTTTAGTAGCTGATAAGAGTTCATGTTTATTGTTGTAACAACTAATATTATCTCCAGTACTAGCTGTATCTGACAATATAAAACCCCAAAAAGGCTCAACTACAAAAGCCTATCACACAAATTGCCTACTTGTTCTTGTTTTCAATGGACTCCAAAATCAGTAGCTGCAACCCGCGGTCATGTGGACAGATGCTGTATGTCATTACTAAAACTCGCTATGTTTATTAAGAAAGTGCTTTTAATGTTTTTGCACCTTCATATTGGTGTGAGCAACAGAGACACATTAAATAATACTACTTAACTTGCATGGAAAATAATAAAAACAGGATTAGAGACTATCTGACCACTAATTGCACATGTCCTGGAACAGACACTGCTAATTAAAAGAATATTTTTTAATTTGCAGGTGTTTTTCAGTCTGTTGCTTGCTCTTTTATCTAAACTTCACAATGCTATCTTGGCCCCTTTCTATATCTCAATG